TTTAAGAGCTGTGACAAAAACATATGTTGAGAACTCTTAAGAAAATATCTTTTAATTAAAAATATTTCTAAACGATTTTAAATCGAGCTTGCTTATTTCGACTATAAGTGATATTTTAAAGCCCCTGTATAAACTTTTCTTGTTAAAGGCAATCTTTTTAAACGTGTTTTTAAACCTTTCTTTCATTTTACAAAAACATTACCAGACCTACGGCTCGAAAATTTGTCTAAAACCTCGTCATGTTTTATCGACATGTCGGCTGCCGTACTAACCAACCATTCTCAGAGCTTAGTAAGTCAAATTTTTATTTTGTATTTTAGCGGACTTAAATAATTACTTAATTCTGTACTTTCTTACTGGGCCTAACTAAATTTATTATAAATTACCGATAATTACATTTATATTACATTTTTAGAATTTTTTGCGCATTTTCTAATGTCCGTAATTAGTAATAATTATTGTGGTTTTTGTGTGTCGTCATTACTGGGGTAGAATGAAAACACTAATTATAATTTCGTTAATTATTAGATCGTAATATTTCTAAATCAGGGGTACCACTATTTATTTGGATCGTAGCAACAGTTAAAACTAATATTTTTCAGAAATCTATCTACCTTTTTTAAGATTTTTTTTCAAATTTTTATTTTTTTATACTTTGCATATCGTATAAGTACATTATGTCATGGTTCTTGTTTCACTGTGATAAAAACATAAATTTTCTCATGCGTATTAAAAACAGTATGTAGTAAATGACAGTTTTCAATTTATGTTGAAAATTTGGTGTAAAAAGAAATGAAATAAGAACTCATCTTTTTTTTCTGTGGGCCATTTATTACAAACTGGTCTTAACTAGACTACCGTATACCTAGCGGGGTACATTTGCTGTGATTGGTGGGAGGACGTGTCTTAATTTAAATTTTGGCGGGTTTAATGTTTATTGAACTGAAAATGGGTTATTGGTAGGAAGAGGATAATATTCGTATTTTAGGATTAAGCAGACTTATTACAGTTATATTTGAAATATGTCTTTAATTTTCCTACACTGAAAATAACAAGGTACATTTGCTGTGATTGATCGGTAGATGTTTATTAAAATGTAACTTGGGTATTGTTGTTTGTTTGTGTTTAAATGACTGCGGATACTAAATCCATTCGCCAATCTTACAATTTGTACTCATTTTTTAATTAGTCATTGTTTCCTATACAATCTTATCCTAAATAAAAAATATATAGTCTTTTTTTTTCTGTTAGGTGCTTTTAGTTATTTATATATAAAATAAGTGATGAGGTCCTCAGAGTTTCACAGTAAACTCTTCTGCAGCTATCTACTTAATTCAATAGCTCCTTTACTGTTTTTAAATGTTTTGCTACAAAGGTGGCAGGCCCCTGAGAGAATTTCAGAGCTTGTTGAAGTAGGTGGAGTACAGGAATACATAATTTCTTGCTAAAACAAAGACTACGATAATTAAATATGGTGTTCTAACGAACAGATTATTAAAACCATTGAAATGAAAAAGTTTTAAATTGAAATTTGGAGTTGGAATAAAACCGGCTCCAAACAGAGAAAAATAATTTTATGTGCGCTTGGTGTTAAATAATACCGCCAAGCCAATATAAGACACATAACCTAACAAATCATAAGTCAATAAACATTAAACCCATGGTACAACGAAACCATTAAACCCGCCAAATTTTAAATTAAGACACGCCCTCCCACCAATCACAGCAAATGTACCCCGCTAGGTATAAGGTAGTCTGTCTTAACTCAAGCTGATTATCTTATTGTACATGTCTTTTTATTTCACTGAACCTTCACCAAAGTGTAGGGTTTAATTTTTTATGATCTCTCAAAATGTTTTTATTTTATGGTATTTTTGTAGTAATAATTAAATCATTGGGGATTTTTTGATTGTTTTTAAATCTGGTTTATGTACTAGTATATTTTATCACATCTATTAATCTACAGCTGTTTTGTTTTCACCGTTTTGGTTATTTAAATTTCAGAATTAATTTCATCATGTATATTTCTAGTTTTTATAGGACTTTTTTCACTCTTTATTCGGAAGAACTTCTATACATTTTCAGAACTTTTATAATACTGATCCTAAGTCATTATCATCAACCTGTATGCGTCTATTGCTGGATATAGATCTCCTTTAGCTCTTTCTATCTGTCTCTGTCTTGTGCAACGATATTTTTGATGACATCTGTTGTTTTTTTTCTACGACGTATTTCTTCGTTTGGGCTTCGGTCTCCCAGACAGACACGCAACATTTGGCGTTCCATAGCCCTCTTAGTCACTTGAATCTTTCTACTACCTTTATTCACTTTGTGAGTATTAATATTTCCGCTCCATAAGTGAGTACAGGTAACACACATTGGTCAAGATTTTCTTTTGAGGCATATGTATAGTTACGATTTAAATACATAGTTTAATTTACCAAACGCAGCCCAGGCTAGTCCTGTGAAACATGGGGATTCACATGTCTGGTTATTTCTCAATCGAACTTCATGTCAATACTTATACGATGCTTTCTGAACAATATCCCTTAACTGCAATATTTCGATTTAGCAGCAGATCAGTCATTATTTGCGTCTTGTTCATAATAATCTTTAGTGTGACCTTTAAGGAAGAGTGATATAATTTTTCAAACATTAATATTGTATCATCCATACTATCGACTATAAGGACGATGTCATCTGCAAATCTCAAATGACTAAGCTTTTCTCCGTTTATGTTTATACCGTGCTCGTTCAGATGTGCATTCTTACAAGTATGTCGTTAAACCATCGTGAATAGTTTTGGATAAACGGTGTTTCCTTACTCCGTACTTACCGTACCCTTTGCTGTATACAAAATTTATTTGTTTCAGATACTCTTACGATAGCTGTGTCATTTTGGTATTTTGTTAATGCTTTTAACATTGTCTGATGGCTTATAACCAGAATATTTAACATTTTACCAGAATATTTAACATCTCACCTGACAAGACGATGTACGGTGGACGCCTACGCAGAAATGCACGGCACCTTAAGAAGAGAAGATGGCTTATGGTATCGAATGCTTTCTCGTAGTCTCGTAGTAAAAATTAGTGCCAATGGTTTATTGTATTCTGCAAACTTCTCTATCCGCTTCTTTATGACTAGTAAATGGTCGTTAGTGCTGTATCCTGATCTAAATCCAGCTTGTTCTCTAGGCAGATAGAAATCTAATTTAGCGTCCAGTTTTTTCTTGATAATTTTTGTGAAAGTGTGAAAGCAAACTGATAGGACGGTAGTTTTTTAGATCTGTTATGTCTCTTTGCTTGTTTAATAACATATTGACTTCATTGTTACATTAAAACGGAGTTTTTTCTTGGCACATGGACTGGCAAAAGCTTGGCCAAAGAGTCATCATCAATCAGCCAATCGCGTCCACTGCTGTACATAGGCCTCCCTCAGTTCTTTCCAGTGTTCTCTACACTGGGCCGCTTGTAGCCAGTTTCCCGCTACACGTTTAATGTCATCGGTCCATCTAGTCGGTGGTCGTCCTCGGCTTCTTTTATAATTTCTGGGCCTCCATTCCATAATACGTCTTGTCCACCGTCCATTCCATAATACGTCTTGTTCACCGTCCATCTTGTGTTCTGGCCAAAGAGTGGATAATTTTATTTGAACCTAGCTTCGATCATTACTTGTTTAATTTCATATGGAGTTATTTCTGGCATTAATTCTGATCCCTGGTTTGTGATATTCGACCCTGGCTGATTTTACCTTTCATCGGAGCTCTCATACATTTCAAGATTAAAGGATTCGATAAACCTCAAGGACTTTGATTCTATCTGTAGTAATGTGTTTATATTTGATTTTTAGTTTGTACATATTTTTGTTGATTATGTTGTTCGTATTTCGCCTCAAAACTTTTTAACTTTTTTAAATCATTTTAGTTATTTCTCTTATATTGTTTTCTTTGATCTCCTCCTTAACGTGCCCTATCAAGTCCCCTTGACGTTGGCGATTAACATGACGAAACTGTCTCTGCCTCGAGCTATTTTAAAGAGTTGCTCAGCTTTCCTTATTCCTGCCTAAAGTTTTCTTTGATACTTCTTGTTTATAGTGGTACTTAGTGCTTACTACCTTTAATAAAATTTATCGATCAATATAGCTAATTTTTGTCTGTCCTATGCTTGGTAAAATGTGACTTTTTGTTATAAGGGTCCATTATGATGTATAACGTCTTCTTCTTCCTATGTTGTCCCCATTAATGGAGGTTGGCGACCACATTTCTAAAAGTTTTTCTGTCTTTTGCATCGTGAAATAATTCATTTACAGTCATGATTGTCCAGTCTCGAATATTTCGCAGCCATTATTTGCCATCGAATCTACCCTGCATGATGACCTGCAGAAGACTATATTTATTTTTTTTCTCAGTATGTGTCCAAGTTATGCAGTCTTACGTACTTTTTGATGTAGCTTTCTATATTCGAAAAGTTCAAAAAGTGATGACGTTTACATTTATGGTGACTGTAGTTTGTTCTGATCGAATGACTTAGGCAATATTACAGTTTTATCCCCAAAGCTTATATAATTAATGATGATCTAATTTACTCTAGTACTGTCATCTGGATGTTGCTGAAGGGATGCTCTGATGATATGTTCAACATATAAATTAACCAGTGGAGAAGACTAAATGCACTCTTACGAACAATCTTTTGTTTCGATTTATTGTAAATGCAATAAAAGGCTTTTCTGTGATCAAAACAGTAGAGTGTATAATCTTTATTAAACCTCTAGATATCTATAAGATATTAGAGGCGATTTTCAAATGATTACTCGATTACCTATTTTATTTTTGAAACCAGAAAAATTTAAAAAATGTTTACACCTTGTGCGAATAGTATAAAGAACTTGATCAAAAAAAGTGTATTTAATCTATAAAAGTTAAGTGAGAATTACCTGTTCTGCTTATCCAGATCCCTTTAATGGATTTTGATAGATCATACTAATCTGTGGTTCTTTAGTTCCAGTCAATGGATAATCTCCACCTCACGAGATGGAACGAAAAAAACGAAGAAAACAACTTCGCTTACGACCAAAACAACCAAGTTATGCTAAATTATGAGAGACCCTACTTCAGCGTTCAGCTTCCCTTCGAAGTCACACCACCATCTGAGGGAGGAGCTGTTACAATTACTAAAGGTATGTATATTTATTTATATGACTTTAGAAAATGATACGTTATTAAAATCATTATTACAAAAACAGGTATTGAAAAAAGATATATTGGTAAAAAACTAAATTCTTCTTCTTGATGTGCCTATCCGTTACAAATGTTAGCGATCATTATGACAATCTTTATCTTATCTGAAGCAGCGCGGAAAAGCTGCACAGATGTTGTATTAAACCAGATTCTAAAGTTCTTTAACCAAGATGTTCTTCTTCTTCCTGGACCTCGTTTTCCAAATATTTTTTCTTGTAGGATGGCTTGAAGAAAAATATATCTGGATTCATTTCGTATATATCCGAATAATTGTAACTTTTAAGATTTTTTGGTGGTGAGTACCTCTCGGTTCTTATTCGTGCTTCTGAGTACCTCCTCATTTGTGACTCGGTCAGTCCACGGGATGGTAAATATTCCCCGATATAGCCACATCTCAAATGCTTCCAGTTTTCTGCACATATCTTCGCTTAAGGTACACGATTCAACACCATAAAAAACGATAGAGAAGACGAAGCATCAAAGCTTTTTACTTTTGTATCAAGAGAGAGGTTGTGACTCTTGAAGAAGGCCCCCATTCGATTAAAGGTGGATCTAGCTTTTGTCTACTGTCGTCCAATAGTGTCTTACCATCATTTTTTTAAGTTTCTTCATCTCTGCTGTTTCTAACATCCTTTTTGTCCTATCTGTGTCAGGTCTTATTTCTGCCACGTATGTCATTATTGGTCTGATGATTGGTCTGTTTTGTAAATTCTGCCTTTCGTTTCTTTCCTGATATTTTTATTTCTCCATATTGTTTCATAACAATACATAACTAACACTATATATAACTAACAATATATTGGTATATTTAAATACCACTTACTAAGGCCAATAGGTTTTTCGATATAATTAATAATTATAAGCCTATATCAAGAGAAAAGGCATTTGATAAAGTTCAACATAAAAAGCTTGTAGATATATTAAAAAGCAAAAATATTGACAGTCGTGATCTGAAAATTATATCTAATTTATATTGGAATCAAACTGCCAAGGTAAGAGTTGACAGCCAGTACACCGAAAATATCAAAATACAGAGAGGAGTCCGCCAGGGTTGCGTGCTGTCCCCACTACTTTTCAATGTCTACAGTGAAGCGATATTTCAAGAAGCGCTCTCAGACTCAATAGAAGGTATATCTATCAATGGAGAAGTTTTGAATAACTTACGTTTTGCAGACGATACAGTAATAATTACGGATAACAACAATGATTTACAAAACCTAATGCAACGCTTTAATGAACGCTGTCATGAGTACGGACTGAAGATAAACTTAAAGAAAAGTAAATGCATGATCATGACTAAATCTGCACATGCAAATATCCAATTGACTATTGAAGATACTGCAATTGAGAATGTTAATAACTATAAATATTTAGGAACATGTATAAATCAGATGTAGACCAAACCAAAGAAATTAAGACACGTATTGAAATAGCACGTACATCATTTATTAAACTTAAAAAGTTTCTTTGTTGTCGGGATATAAGGTTAGAACTACGCCTGAGAATGCTTCGATGTTACGTGTTCTCTACTCTTCTTTATGGTCTGGAAGCTTGGACACTAAAACAAGTTCATCTGAATAAGTTGGCCGCCTTTGAATTTTGGTGTTACAGAAGAATCCTACGAATATCATGGATTCAAAGAATGTCAAACATGGAAGTAACTAGAAGGATAGAAAATGAGGCGGAAATAATATTAACTATTAAAAGACGAAAACTTGAGTACTTGGGACATGTGATGAGAGGGCAAAAATACGCCTTATTACAACTTATTATGCAGGGCAAAATCCGAGGAAAGCGAAATGTGGGAAGACGAAGAATATCCTGGCTTAAGAACTTAAGGGAATGGTTTGAATGCAGTAGTGCAGAACTTTTTAAAGCGGCAGTCAACAGAGTCCGCATAGCCATGATGATTCCCAACCTTCGATAGAAGATGGAACTTAAAGAAGAAGATCAAGAGAAAATTTACTGCTTTCTGATTTCGGATTTATGATATTTTCTAAACAAATTTTGTTTTTAGTCATTGCAGATTGTAAGATTTTGTAGATCTTTCCACATACAACCTGAAATATCTTTCAGTGGTCTGAATCTTATATTGTATTTTTGCATATTGGGCAAAAAGTTGTAGTCACCTGTTTCGCTTGCTGCACTTACTTCCCTTTCATATATTTGGACATCTTTCACTTAAGATTTTTGGTACACTAACCCAGTTTATATCTGGTCCGATAAAAAAAGTATTAGGCTCTTAGAATAACTAACAGCATTCTAGTTACCAGCATATGCTTTACGCCCCAACACCCACAACAAAGTAACTTTGATGTGATTTTCCAGTTGCGTAAGTGAGTGTATTCAGTTTAACAGGGACTTAAGATTAGCGGCATCCATTTTTTTCATTTTCCATAGAGTCCATTTTTTGTCTGTTTATATTTTTTAATTTTATTTTGTAAAACTGTTACCTTTATACTCTGTGGACCAAATACGTTGTTGAGAAAAAATCTTAAATTATGAAATACGCACACTATTCTATGTTTTGTCCTCCAGATCGAAAGCAGATTTCATTTTTTTTTTTCATTTTAAAGATGACTTTCTTTAAAACTCGAATTAAAAAATCGATTTTAGAGCTTGCATTTAATATTTTTATTGATCCAATGATTTACGATTTAGATAGCAATAAAAATATTTTCTATATTCTCTGTTTTTATTACTGTATCCACAATACTATTTTTTATATACTGGTATTCCATCTTTATTATGCATATTTTACTAAATTTACTACTTATTTATTATTAAACAAATTTTATATTTGTGTTTGTTTGTTGCAGATGTTGACAAGAGTCCACGATCAATCCCAAGTCCAAAGATATCCACTAATACGATCGCACCAAAGAGAGCCCGTACGGCATACACTTCTTCTCAACTTATCGAGTTAGAGAAGGAATTCAACAGCAGCAAATACCTTTGTCGCCCGAGAAGAATACACCTAGCTAACATTCTGAATCTCAGTGAAAGGCAAATCAAAATCTGGTTCCAAAACAGAAGAATGAAGCACAAGAAGGATCAGAAGAGTAAATCTGGTTCCCCCGATCATAGAACATCACCACTTATTTCTTCGTCTTCCACCAATTCCAGTCCTGGTTCCAGATCTAGACTTCAGGTTAAATCGGATGAATCCGCTATAGAGCGCTTGTTGAACCACTCGATTTCTTCACAAAATCAGTACATGCCTCAAACACTACCGAATTACAGCTCTCCTCAGTACTGCTCCCAGTGGGATCGTGAAAGATCAAACTACACCAACCAATACTTATCCAACTGCGGATCCAACATGTATATTGAGGCTGACTCTGGTATTCCTACAATAATATTAACTATTATCCAGTTAATAATTATGACCAGTACAGCGAGGAAGCTGCCAGGCCATTGTATCAGCCATATTTAAATATCAAGAAAGAGGGATCTGGCGAAGAAGTCGAGCATGAGGTATACGCACAGAGAGATTTCGCAACTGGTCCTTCCGTCAATGTCCAGTGGGAACAACATGGCCAGTGCTTGGGAAATATAAGTCCTCATGACAACTTGACTCCATTGTAATTGGTGTAGGAAATGATATTGGTTAATTAAAATATTGGGTTTCGGTTTAAAATTTCTCTTCAATCATCAAAGCTAAGTAAATCATATAAAGTACATATTTGTTTGATTTTCATTTATACTTATCTTGTGTTCTTTTTTTGATAAATTGTTCGAATTGTATCAAAAATATTTAAATAAATAGAACTTTTTAGTAAGTGGATAAGGAAAATGCATTTCTCAAATTAATAAATATTTTTGCTTCTTGTGATGTAAATATTTTTACTTAGCTCTGACTTGACCCAGATATTTTTTAATATAATAAACAATAAGTACTATACTCTAGGTTTTACGGACTTAACAATCAGAGTTAAAGATTAATTTTGCTCTTTATGTTGATAATTTAAGTTTAATTTTTGATATTTATGGATTTTAATACAGCATATTGTTCGTAGTTGTGCCTTCTTTAAACTCATTTATAATAAGTCAAATGTTTATTAAATAAACTAAAAATTATTTATATTTATTCAAAAGTAGCTTAGATTTGTAGGTTATATTTATATTATAAAGGAATTAAAGAATGGCAAACTTACAGAGGCATATGTTGTATAAAAACCACATAAAGGGGATATACAGAAATTTTTGTAAATATAATTTTTCAATATTTAACACAAAAAAGCTTCCATAGTAATAAATATATTTAAATTTGGTATTTTTTTTATAAATTTTTGACATTTTTGAAAATTGCAACGCAGCAATCGATAATGAATTACATTTTTATTTAAAACATATTTAATGAAATTTAGAAAATGATACTTTTCATTAAAATTCATTATAGTTTTTGAAACACAATAATAAACTATAATATAATAATATATATATTTTTCTTTGGCTCTGAAATACTTTCGGGGTATACTTTTCCTTCCCTATAACAATATTCTTTTGGTTTTTCGCTCTTTGAAATACATTTTATGCTATAATACATATTTTTGTTTCTAAATAGTCAACAAATATCTACTTTCCTGTAAATATTAACAAAATAGTTTTTCCAAATAGCGTACAATGTAAAATAAAAAGGATATTATGTAGGTTATGTATTTAACAGTATATATGCTTTTGTTTAAATTTATATTTAATAGTTTTAGTAAGGATCATTGTATAAATATAAATTTAGCCTTATATATATTTTTATATATTTCATATAATCATTGTACTCATATAATATATCGACAAATGACTTAATAGATATTGTTAAAACCTATTTTTTTCTTTTATTTTATAATCACTTCATTTCTAAAATATATATGAGAAATTTAAGCAAACTATCTGTGCTTGATATATTCTTTACAAGTATCAAGTCAATAAAAAAAGAATAAGTGATCACTGTCTTGTTCAAACATATATCATCTGCTACGATGGTACTTTATCATAAAGGCAAATGCAAAAATATTCAAAGGAAACATTGCTAAGCAGAAGTAGAGGCAATGTCTATAGTTTTCAATAGGGCTAATGATATTCAATAATACAAAACAATAACATTTTAGAAGGAATTATTGGAGTTAATAAAGGTTCGAAGGTTGTCAGTAAAACGCCAAGTAAGACAAAATGATATTACTAAGTTCTAGATGAACAGGACGCTATGACACATTTTTTGATAGAACACTTCTAGAAGAATGTGCGTACTCCGATAGTTAGAACCTTCTAAAAATCTAATTCTACTATGTACCATCAGAATCAGAAACGTAAACAAGCAATAATTAAAACAGCAAATTACTACTTAAAACCAGAAAAGAGAACATAAAGATTGGATGACTGAAGAGGTACTACTATTAATGAATGAAAAAAAATTATTTAAAACAATCCAATTAAATATAGTGATTAACTAAAAAGAAATTGAAAAAAATTAAAGAGAATACTACATGAGCAGTAGGTACCAATAATAATCCTTCATTTTAGCTTTACAACCTTGTGTAAGTCCCAGCCTCCTCAAGAATTCTATTCCAGTCGTCCCTATCCATCGCTTTCCTCCGCCAAGCACGTATTTCCATATTTCTCATATCTTGGTCAATGTTATCTAGGAACCTTGTTTTGGGTCTTCCTCTTCTTCTTTGACCAATAGGTTATCTAGGAGCGTTTTTCTAGCTGGCTCGGTTTGCTCCATCTGCATTGCATGGCCTACCCACCTCAGACGTCCTATATTAATGTGTTTTATGATATCTGGTTCCTGGTATATTCTTTAGAGTTCGAATTTGTATCGTCTTCTCCAGACACCATTTTCATTTACCGCTCCATAGATTCGCCTTAATATTTTTCTTTCGAAACATCCTAACATGTTTTCATTGCTTTTTGTTAATTTCCAGGTTTCTGAACCATATGTTAGGACTATTGCATATTATTGTTTTGTAGAGTTTTACTTTTATATTTCTTGATATAATTGTAGATATAAAAAAGAAGATTAAGCCCAAAATAGCATCTATTAGCCGTGCAAATTCTGCGGTAGTGTCATTTTCAGTATTGACGTGCGTTATTAGGTATTATATATAAAAATTGGTAACTGCTTCGATGATGTCGTTTTCTATAACAACTGGGCGTAGTATTTGTTGTTGCGGACCTATTTTCATGTATTTCTTTTTATTAATGTTTATTATTAAACCCATTTTTATAGCCGCTTCCTTTAGTGCTACATACGCCTCTCCTGCTGCGTTTTCCGTTCTCCCAACAATACTGATATCATCAGCATATGCTAGGATTTACACAGATTTGTTATATATTGAACAGGTAGTTGTGATTTGTGACGTATTCAAGAGCTAGATTGAATAGTATACAGGAGAGTGGTTCTCCCTGACATAGTTCGTTATTTGTATTAAATGGTTCAGAGAGTTTCCCCTGGATTTGTCTCTGCATTCAACTTTTTCAAGGGTGAATTTGGTTAGACTTACCAACTAATTTGGTACTCCTAGGTCTATCATTGCTCTAAACAATTTTCTTCTATTTACAGAGTCATAGGCTGCCTTGTAGTCTATAAATATGTGGTGCGTGTCTACACCGTATTCCAGTGTTTCTCCAGAATTTGTCTCAGGGTTGAAATCTTATGATTTGTTGATTTACCACCTCCGAAACTAGCCTGGTATTGTCCTATTATTCGCTTTGCATACGATGCCATAATATATAATGATACCGTGGCCACCTTGTTTATATAATTCCGCTGGGAGATTATCTATTCCAGGTGATTTGTTTCTGGCTAGTTTGTTTACAGGTTGGTTTACTTTAACTTCCAGGATCGTTGGTGGATTCTCCTCCCTCTCGTCTGCTCCACTTACCTCACAGCTTTCGTCTTTCTCTATATTAAGTATCTGGTTAAAATATTCCGTCCATCGGTTTAGTACATCTGTTCTTGTTGTTAATAGATCGCCCTTCAAACTTCTACATTGATTTGTGTTTGCCTTGAATTATTTTCTGTTGATGTTAACTTTCTTATAGAATGTTCTGAATTCTTTCTCTATGTTGAGGTTTTGTATATATTGAAGTTCCTTTTTTAAGTTGTTTTGTTTCTTCATTCTGTGTATTTTCTTCTCTTCTCTTTGTCTGGTAATTGTTTCTACACTTGTTCTAGTTGGGCGGGTAAGCATTTTTGCATAAGCTTCATTTTTTTTGCATAAGACTGTTTAAGACTGCCGTGTTTGTAAGCAGTTCGAGTAAAAGCTTCATTTTTTTTCTGTGTTGCGTCTTTTCATTCATCGTCAAACCAGTAATTTTTTCTGGTAAAAGTTTCTGTACCTATTTCATCTTGTGCTGCTGACTCAATATCTTCCTTTATCGTGTTCCAGTAGGAGTCTATATCTCTCTGGTCTTCTTCGCTTGGAGTTTGATTTCTTAACCTATTGGTAATATTTTTCCAGTACCGTTTTGCAGCAGTTGCATCTCTTAGCTTCTGTACATTCAATTTTTTTATATCTATTTTGTTTTCTTTGTTGGAATTTGAAATTCTAGCCCTTAGTGTTGAGATCACTAAACAGTGGTCTGAGTCTATGTTTGCGCCTCTATAACTTCTGCAGTTCATTATTTCCGTTCCGTGTCTTGAATCTATTAAGATGTGATTAATCTGACTAGTTGTTCTTCTATCAGGGGAGGTCCAGGTTACCTTGTGTATATTCTTATGTTCAAAATAGGTGCTAGCGACGGTCATGTTCAGTGCTGCGTAATCAGTCGTAATCCATTATCGCTACTGATGTGTAGGCTATGCCTGCCTATAGTCCGTATAAAAACTTACTCTAGTCCTATTCTTGCATTCATGTCACCTAGAACTAAAAACTACAACCAAGAATAATATTGAGAAAAAATATGACGTGTTTACCGTGCATAAAAATTGGGAAACTAACAGGATTGAAAAAACACGTCAAACCAGGTAACTAAGCGATGAAAGTGGTGCACTTGTAACAGATATAGACCAAAAAATGCAGTGACTATCATAATATAAATAAAGCACTTATTGAAGACAAAGAGAACAGAAGCACCAAAAGAATTTAAAGATTATACTGGGCTTGATATTATACAAGAGGAAATCGAATATGCAATAAAAGAAACTAAAAGTGGTAAAACTTCCGGGTCTAATATATATATATATATATATATATATATATATATATATATATATATATATATAGTTCAGCTCAACAGGCCCAAGGCTTCAACGGTTTTCTTTCATTTCTTTCCAGTTTTTTCCAATCTTGTACCCGCAGCGACTTCAGATCTTCTTTTGCCGACTCCAGCCGTTTTCTTCGGAGCGGCCTCTTTATCTTTTTGTACCAGCTTCCGTGTTTACTAATTCATTGGGAACTCTTCCTTCCTTCATTTTTGCTATATGTCCGAGCCATCTTAATGAATGAATTTTAGCGAGTCTTGTTATTTTTGGTTGCCCATATATTTGCATTATTTCTTCATTCGTTCTTCTACGCCAGATGTTCCCCTCTTTTACACCTCCGTATATCCTTCTAAGAATTTTTCGTTCCCATCTATCTAATTTTACTTCCATATCTTTATTTAGTGTCCAGGTCTCGCTAACATAGAGTACAGTAGGTTGGATAACTGTTGTATATATTCGTTTTCTTGCTGTTTTGGATATTATTTTCGACCTCAGTACCTTTGGCCATTATTTTTATGATTTCTTGGTTTTCTTCGTTTCTATTTGTTAGTGTCACTCCCAAGTAATCGAATTGGATAACAACTTCAAGGTTATATTTTTTACTTGGGCTTTGTATCTTAAAGGACTGTCCTAGATGATTTTCTTTTCCCCTCATTACCATATATTTTGTTTTTTCTTCGTTTATTTCTAAACCGTATTCCTTGGCTATTCTCTCTATTCTAGTAAAGATTTCTCTTAAATTTGCAGGTCTCCTTGTTATTAAGGTAACATCATCTGCATATGCTACACATTGATGCCTGTGATGATATATTGTGCATCTAGTGTAGATATTAGATTCTCGTAAAATCTTCTCTAAGATCAAATTGAAAAAATCTGTTGATAACGGGTCACCTTGTTGAAGACCTCTATTGGTGATAAAGCTATCCGAAACCCCTCCTTCTAACATGACTTTACTTTTAGTATCATTGAGTATGCATTTAGTCAGTCTTACTATTTTTGGTGGAAATTTAAAATATTCTAGTGCTTCATATACTTTATTTCTTTTTATAGTATCATATGTCTGTCTAAAATCAATAAACAGCATGTGTAATGTTAAGTTGAATTTATATGAGCTAGCTAAAATTTGTTTCATTGTAAAAATTTGGTCTGTTACCGATCTGTTTGCTCTGAAACCTGTTTGATATTCACCTAGACAATTTTCAACTTTTGTTTTAATTTTATTTTTAATTGATATGGCCAGAATCTTATACACTGTATCTTGTAGAGCTATTCCCCTGAAATTTTTACATTCTGTAACGTCTCCTTTTTTATGCACTGGACATAAGATTGCTTCTTTCCACTGATTACGTATTTTTTCTTTGATCCACACTTTGCGTATTAACTTAGCGATTTCTTCTTGCACCATTTCGCCACCTTTTTTTAAAAACTCAGCAATAATACCATTTTCACCAGGTGCTTTGTTGTTTTTTAAGTTGTTTATGATCTCTATAATTTCTTCCTTGGTAGGAACTTCTTCATTTACATCTGGGTCCCTTACTTCTTTATGTTGTAGTTGCGTTTGTTCTCTTTCATCTTGGTCGTCCGTACATAATATGTTCTCGAAATAATTGGCCCACCTTCTTAATTTTTCATCTGTTCCACCTAACAGATTCCCCTCTTTATCTTTATAATATCTTGATGTGGTTTTGTACTGGGTTCGGTCTCGTTTTATTTCTTGGTAGAAATTCCTGACTTGTTTATGTAAAAACTCTTCTTCAATACGAACTAATTTCTGCTCTAAACTTGACCACTTCTTCCTTCTACAGATCTTCTTTGCTTCCCGTCTTTTTGCGGCATAAGCTTTTTTGCTCTCTTCATTATTTCTTGGTATGCTATTTATTCTAGCTTTATTTCGGTCACTAATGGCTTTCTTACAATCCTCATTATACCAATCCGTTTGTTTACATTGTCTGTTTCTTAAAAATACTGAGTCGGCTGTTTCTTGAATTTTTTCTTCTAGTTGTACCCATCTGCTTTCTATATCATTTACTGTTGTCTGGCTTTTCAGTTTCTCTTCAATTTGCTGCCTGAATTTTTTCTTAACTTCTAAGAAATTAAAACTCGTATAGAAATTGCAAGAGGGGCATTTATGAAACTTAGATCTACTCTCAGCAATTCTCAGCTGAACTTACAGCTGAGAATTAAGTTTCTAAAATGTTGTGTGTATCCTGTATTACTGTATGGATGTGAAACCTGGATTATGAAGGTTAACATGATGAACAAATTAGAAGATTTCGAGATGTGGTTACACCGTAGAATGCTCAGAATATCATGGGTTCAACACATTTCAAACAGAGAGGTCTTGAACAGAGTAGTTCAAGGTGAAGGTGACTTATAAAAATGATAAAAATGTCTGGGAAAACATTCGAATATCTGGGGCATATAATGAGAGAAAGCAGATACAGGATAATGCAGTTGATATTCAACAAAAAGATCGACGGAAGAAGAAGAATTGGTAGAAATAAATACTCATGGCTCCGAAAACTTCGTCAATGGACTAGCTTATTAGCAGATGAATCATGGAAGCTACCCACGCCTAAAATTTGGGCACGGTACTCAAAGAAGAAGAAGACCGGCAATTTCTTTTAATTATTTCAATTAATTTTCATTTAATATTTTTATAGCATTTATATAAAGTGGCAAAACTGCAATAAAATCTACTCTGTTAGATTGTTCTGATAGCTTTCTAATGATCCAAATAGATAACACTGGAATCCAAGTTAGCAAACTGCGATTTTTCAAAAGAGTGAAAGACATTATAAGACTTAAAAGAAAGATGTATAAGACGAAAAAAAAGAACTAAAGATCAACCCGATCAATGAAAAAAGACTACAAAACAAACTGAAAACAATATATGAACATATTGTATTGGTAAATTGACGGACTAAATAAACTCTAGAAAAATATAACTATTTTGGGACGGAAGTTGACAAGGAGTTTTGAATAATACAAATGTAAACTACTTATTAAATCGACTTTTACACTATACCTTAAAACTAAATTTCAATATGTAAATTTTTTTTTTCAAATATCGACAAAAAGTGATCAGAAAAAAATCCAAATACCAAGACATACACCAAAATACAGAACACTGTAATAAACAAAGCTCTCAAATATTTCAAATACGTTTTCATACAGCAATATCCACAGATTTTCTGCTTGTTCTTTAGTGAAAATATTTCGCACAATAATCTGAAAATATTACTTTTCTGAGACAACCAGTATAATTAACAACAAAATAAAAACTACTTTATTATATTTACTTCAATCATTTTTTTGTAACAATTACTTTAAAATAGCTTTTGCGAAGAATACTTCGACGTTTGTATTAATATGAAGTTGTGTTTGGAATTTTAAACGCATAATTTATTTCAAAAATTACATTACTTAAAATTTTTATCAAACTAAGAGCAAGGTAAGTCCGCCATATTATTCTTTATTTCTCTAGATTTAGACATTTATTGCATAGTGCTGGATTTTATCTTCATTTTTCTTCTTCTGTCCTATAGAGTCGATTTAATTTTTTGTGTTTCAGTAAAATATTGATATTACATAATTTTTTATTATTTAATTTAAAACACTTTAACTCCCAGGCCATAATGTTAAGAACAATTAAAATATCTGTTTGGTAAAACACGAACATGATTTTTCAAAAAAATATGTGTGGTCATAAATATGTGGTACACATGGGCTGGCAAGATACTTGACTAATATTATTTTGAACAACCCATGTGCATCTTATATTCTATGTTCTACAGCACATAGTTTCACTAAAAGCCATACTAACAACAAGCCATTTATTTTTATTTATTTTTTTTACATAACAGTTGTATCGCAAAAAAACAACCCTAACAAATGAAACCAGAGTTTTTTTGGCATTTGAGACACCTTGTTTTTAAATTATTTTTATTTTTAATTGTAATGTTCCTTCCATATCCACTAGCATATTTTTTATAGCATAAACTACATCGTCCCCTTGTTTCAGTTTCCTGGTGTACGTGGTGAATGAGGAAGACCTCTACATTTATTTTTTTACCAGTGATTAAACCAAATCTTTACAAAACTGCGTGATGCTAATTCGTTTTCCTGCAATATATTGATAAATACATTGACTGTTTAAGACTGCCGTGTTTGTAAGCAGTTCGAGTAAAACTTTTCGGTACCACTTGACATCCTTACAAATCGTTGAAGCATAAGCAAGCAACCTTTTGGTTCCACAATACTGAAAGCTTTTTTGACTATGCCTCTTTTGGTTACAATATCTACCATTGCCGGAACAGATTTATTGGTCGAAAAATAGCACCTCTCTCCCATCTCTCCATTTTCCAACAATAGCTTCTAAACTACTCTGAAGTACTTTCATTCCACCTTTTTGTAATTTGAATTTAACAATTTGTTGATGTTTTAGCTTTCTCTTTCCTCGCAGTGTCCCAATTACAAATGTTTTGTTTTTATTTAGCTCGTGAGCGAATGTAACACTAAGGTAATAGTTATCTATAGCAAGAGTTTGTCCTTGATTTAACAATTTAACTCCATAACCACATCCATAGATACACTATTGCTAACAGGTATGTTCCCTTTTCCACCGTACACCTTTACATTATAGAATTTCACGTGCTGGACTAATTTTATACAGCTTATCATTTTGAGGAGTAGCTTCGTTATTGGCAACATGTATGGAAAATGCATTTTCAAAGTGCATAGAAGATAAAAAAATTTCAACTCAGATAATATCGACATGAAAGAGTTCAATTTGGTTACTCGGGAGTTTTTGAAGTCGCTGGATACGAATATGATATCGACGATTGTCCTTGAGCTTAACAGTGCCCAGGATGGACCTCGTCTCCTCATCGACGCTCACGAAACTGTTTGGCATCGATTCTATGCGCATGCTTTGACTGCACCGTTCGCTTAACAAGGATCTACAGACCGAGAATTTGGCATCCAAATTCCACTGATTCGCGCAATCGTACTTGTAAGTTCGTATAGTCGGCTGGAGTTACAATTTGCCAAATTTAAATGTAATCGTTTCTACTCATTCATATTAATATTATAATGTATAATATATTAAAGTTTTTAATATTGGTAATATTATTAAAGCTTTTAATACTATTTTTTAACATTAAGAATAATATTAAGTAATTAAATATTGCGTCTTACTTAAAAAAAGTACGAGATAAACTCGTTTTTTATATCTTTACGTATGCTAAGGGTAATAAATTAAAATCCTTCAATACAAGACTAAAGGTAGGTACCTATAATTTGAATAAGCTGGTTTTGCCCATACTGACTTTCTAATTCTAATTACCTACTAATTTGCATAACAGTCAGATATTGTACCTGGTCATAATGCTGTTTTAATATTAGGATTTTCATTTCGCTTGTTGAAACTTCATCCGATATTAATTTCTTGGAAATTTTTATAAGGCTGAGAGTACTTAATCGGAATACTCGAGTATTGTTGAAAAAAACTGAAATTGAAGGTACTACACAATCGAAGAACTCAAAAAAATTAAACATTTCCGGTATTCTTTTTCCAGATCGTATTTTGTTTTCGAGATATATTTAAATTTGGGAATTTTTTATTATTTTTCCACTTTTTTCAGGTTCTTTTTTAATTTAATTTCAGTATATAAAAGCCTTTACAATATTATCCAAATTTTATTTGGAAGTTAATCTTAACTGTTCAGAAACAATTTGCTATTTAGGAAATGAAAGTTTGTTTTTTTTCCTTAGTTCTTAATTTGCTATAACATTTCTCATTTGATTTAATAAAAAATATTGTAAATTCATTTTTTTGAATAATTATAACGACTTACATCCGAGTAGCTTAACACAATTAAAGAAAATATAACGAATACGCTCACGACTCGGAACTGAGTCTTTTCTTCTTTTCGCATAAAATATTACAAATTTATTTAAAATACCCTTTATTTAATATATACTTTATTTATTCATCACAATTAAAAAAAAATACTAGTCAGCACAGCGGTTGATTTCCATGAAAATACGCTAAGCAGTGATAATGATTGCATGTACCTAAGTTAATATTTTTGTCTTTTGGTTGGTGTTATATTGGAAATTTCCCCTCTCAAGACATTTGCAAGAAAATTGCACTTTCATGTAAAAAACGAGTTATTTATCTCGTACTTTTTTTAAGCAAGGCGCAATATTTAATTACTTAATATTAATATTAATATTAAAAAATAGTATTAAAAGCTTTAATAATATTACCAATATTAAAAACTTTAATATATTATACATTATAATATTAATATGAATGAATAGAAACGATTACATTTAAATTTGGCAAATTGTAACTCCAGCCGACTATACGAACTTACAAGTACCCTTGTAGTACCTTCAATTTCAGTTTTTTTCAACAATACTCGAGTATTCCGATTAAGTACTCTCAGCCTTATAAAAATTTCCAAGAAATTAATATCGGATGAAGTTTCAACAAGCGAAATGAAAATCCTAATATTAAAACAGCATTATGACCAGGTACAATATCTGACTGTTATGCAAATTAGTAGGTAATTAGAATTAGAAAGTCAGTATGGGCAAAACCAGCTTATTCAAATTATAGGTACCTACCTTTAGTCTTGTATTGAAGGATTTTAATTTATTACCCTTAGCATACGTAAAGATATAAAAAACGAGTTTATCTCGTACTTTTTTTAAGTAAGACGCAATATTTAATTACTTAATATTATTCTTAATATTAAAAAATAGTATTAAAAGCTTTAATAATATTACCAATATTAAAAACTTTAATATATTATACATTATAATATTAATATGAATGAGTAGAAACGATTACATTTAAATTTGGCAAATTGTAACTCCAGCCGACTATACGAACTTACAAGTACGATTGCGCGAATCAGTGGAATTTGGATGCCAAATTCTCGGTCTGTAGATCCTTGTTAAGCGAACGGTGCAGTCAAAGCATGCGCATAGAATCGATGCCAAACAGTTTCGTGAGCGTCGATGAGGAGACGAGGTCCATCCTGGGCACTGTTAAGCTCAAGGACAATCGTCGATATCATATTCGTATCCAGCGACTTCAAAAACTCCCGAGTAACCAAATTGAACTCTTTCATGTCGATATTATCTGAGTTGAAATTTTTTTATCTTCTATGCACTTTGAAAATGCATTTTCCTTATACACAAAATAAAATTTTCATTTTACCCCTATGAATTTTGTTCAGAAACCTTCCTGACACTTTCCCAAATGAAAAAGTGGCACGGCGATTCATCTTGATGTATAAAATTGATAGGGCATTATGAATGTGTCGATCATACCTTACTCATTAATAAATTAAAAAATATTGGAATAAAAGATCTCTCTCTAAAATGGATAGAATCCTACCTATTAGAACGTCGTCAGTACGTCTCAACAGATTTATCCCAGCACTCAGAAAATGTTTGCGAATCAGATTATATTTACATTCATATGGGTGTTCCGCAAGGTTCTGTAATTGGCCCAATATTATTTCTTATTTACGTAAATGATATTGTCTCAGTAAATTCTGCTGTACAGTTTACACTTTATGCAGATGATACTTCAATACTTATATCAGATAAATCACAAATATCTCTTGAAAATAAATGTAACGAACTTTTGTGTGATCTTAGTTATTGGTTTTCCTCAAATTACTTACAATCTTAATACGGATAAAACGCATGCTATTCACTTCCACAATAGACAGAAACATCTGTTAGATACTCAGCATGCTACGTACTTCGAAACCTCAAAGATACGCGAAGTGAAAAACAGCTAATTATGCTGTATTATGCTCAGGTGGAGTCTCGTTTGCGGTATGGCATAGTATTTTGGGGTATGTCTTGTAAATTCAGTGAAGTCTTTCTATCTCAAAAAATAATAGTGCGTTGTATTGCTGGTATTTCTCGAATAACTAGCTGTAAGAGTTATTTTACTAGATATAAACTTTTAACTGTGCCGTGCTTATATATTTTTGAAGTCTGTGTTTTTATTCATTTAAATCTTGATAAATTTAAAACTAATAGTCAAATTCACAATAAAAATACAAGGCAGAATCAAAAATTGCATGTGCCTTTTTCTAAAGGAAATATGCATTTTTACTCACCTGCAATAATAGGTCAAAGAATATATAATAAATTACCAGAGCCAATAAAAAAATGTAAGAATATGAGAATATTTAAATTAACTTTAAAATATTTTTTATTACAGAATACGTTTTATTCTGTTGATGAATATTTTAGTAGTTGACATTATTTTAATTATATGCTAGTAATTTTACATTTTCTATTTGTGTTTGTAACCTTAGGTTTAGCGTAATTTTAGATTTACATTTATATTTAGTAATTTTGTTTTCTAAACTGTGACTGATCCTATACAAATTGTATTTGTCAAAAAGGAAATAAAGTATTATTATTATTATTATTATAGGTTTAGTGCTTTATTTTCTCGCCTACATTTAACATTCTCTTTACCGTAAACACGTCTTTCAAATGCGTCGCAAATATTTTCCTTGCTTTTTTCCTTGTTTTTTTTGGTTGTATTCTTATTTATTGTATTGTTGAGGTTGGACTACGTAAGCTTCTTGTGGCCTTCCATAAGTAGATAGTGGCTTTTGATACATCTATTGTCTATGTAATGTCATCTATGGTCCAAGTTATATGGCGAATCCATGACATGGTTCTTCTGCCCACTCCCCTTCGTACCTCTATCTTTACTTCAATTATTATTCGTAACTGGTTATTTTTGTCATTTCTCCATATGTGGCCTAGATAGGAGGTCTTTATTTTCTTAATCGTTGTTATAAGTTCTTACTCTATAATTACGGTGTTTAATACTTAATATTTTGTGATAAAGACACATTTCAAAGGCTTTTAGACATCCTATCAATGTCCAGACAACTCCATACAGATGGATTGACCAAAACTAGCATTTAATAAATCTAATTTGGATGACTGAGCTTTCGATTATAGATAATTTGCTTCAATTTATTGTACATGTTCCTAGCCTGTTCTATTTGTGTTTTAATTTCTATATCTTAACCTTCTTACTACGTACTACCTCTAAATATCTGAATTTGTAAACTTTTGTTCTAATTGAAGGTTATTTAGGTTAATGCGATAATTTTCATCGGTTTTGTTAATCACCATTACTTTAGTTTTTTGAAGATTTATTGTTAGTCCCATTGCTTTATTTACATTAATAACTCTGTCTAATATAACTTGTACTCAGTAGGTACCGCTCACTGTACTATTTTTTTTAGTAATTCTAGAGTGATCAAACTAAATAATTTTACATATAAAGATTTCTTGAATAAAAAGTTTGTATTTTAACGTTTTAGCCATTACGAAAATGAACTGGCACAATAACGGACCAAATGTAGATCACAATTCATATCATGTATCCTCTTCTACTTGTGACAGTCCTTCTTCAGATGCATTGGTAATTGATGAAGATCGTGATACAGATACAGGTACAACAATTTATCCAATAGTTTTAATGCATAATTTTTCTTTAGCTTTCCCACTATTGTATTCTATTTAAAAAACGAAAAATGTTTAACCTTCGGAAGAGTGCGGATTTAAAAATCACAAGTTCTTTCTAATCGTAAACTTGCAAATGTCAAATCAATTATTTCATTTACACGAATTTTGGTAATAATTGGTAGTCTTAGTATTATGTCTCTTGTATACAAAATTATAAAAGAAAAACGGCTTTTAGGAGGATAAGCTAAATGCTTATTATTATTGTAAACAATTTCAGAATTAATTTTGGCAATATAACATTCTAAAAAAAACAGGCCATCTTCCAGCGATTCTGGTCCACAGTATCAACGCCAGATTTTGTTCTATTGCATTCCAAAATGATTTGTGGTTTTTTAAAGTGTCATTAATTTCACGTACATCATGCATGCTTGATAACAGTATTACAGTCTTATTCTTATGGCTCACATATAAACTTATAGAGTGATATTATCTTAAAATCCTAATAAAGTCGGTCCTACTACAGGTGGGATTTTTTTAAGCTACCAATTAATGCTAGTTTAATTTGAACAAGATATTCAGCTAATAGATAGCTTGTATAATAGTTCTCTGTTGTTATATTTATATAGGAGATTTTGAATATGATCTAGCAATCTCTGTACAACATCTAATAGCTTATTATAAACGTCTTGTAGGGGCTATCCCATCTGTTGTATTGTGAGTATCTATTCTTTTATTGACTTAAGCTCATCTTCGCCACCGTCTGCACCTATTATTTTAACGTCTAACTGGCAACTAAACAAATCGTACACATACCAACTCGGTATGTGCGTCATAAGTTGCCTAATATAGTTCATTTGAGAATAGATAGACGGATAAGTGGATTCAATTAATAATTCTCTACGGAATTTTACAATTAGCAAAAAGGCGACACAAATTACCGATGGCGCGCCCGTCGGAAAATTAAGATATTTTCTTTCTAAATAGGTATTGAGTAGTGGTATGGTTTAACGATTGCATTGGCTTGAAAATGCTGACGACATAAGCCGCCTATTTCTAAATCTTGTATTACGGTTTCTGATAGTGATCACTTTTTATTGTTTTCTCTTTTCAAAGTTGTTTGAATTGGGTAGATACATTGTAATCAATAAAATGTTTTAACAAATAATTTTATATAAACAAAACTAACATTTGCTTTATACCTCTTAGAACCTCTTCAAGAGCTTGATCCTTTGTTTCAAAGAAATCATGGGAGAAGGTTACCAGAGCTACCGAACAATCAGTATCTAACACAAGATCGTCGTAACCAACCTAGTGAATTTCGTAATTCGAGAAGAACTCGCCGAAACAAGAGTAATCCGCAAGGAAAGGAAAATATTAACATGGTAAATATCATTACTATTTACTTACGGACTTGAGTGTAGATTACTTCTTACGTAGGATTGGAATTTACTTATAGTTTATGAATAATGTCTCTCAAAATATTGAGCTATATCCAGAAATACGGCTTAATTAATTTTCTTAAATATGCAGTCAAAGATAATTAAAGTATGTTTCTCGATTTTACTGGGGCAGAAACTCTTGAAAAAATTCTAGTCTGTTTTTTCTTACAGTACCCAAATATGTAGGTTTTTTCTTCAGTATTCTGTTGACCAATGATCTTATGCTAAGCCCTTTTCTTGTCCACCACTTTACTCAAAAACCATATTAGATAATTAAAATATTTTTTCGGAATATTATTAGTATTACGTATGAGATTGTCAAGATATACTTTTGGTACAAAAATTCGCTTCCGGTTTTGAGATGACCGGAAGGTAAAATTTACTTTAAGTTTTAGACCCCACAATGTATATATAGATCGAAAGGTCTCGTCGAGACGAATCTAAATATGTACTTCCGGTTGCGATCCGACAACGGAAGTGACCCGAAACGCGCATAAAACGTCAAGATAGAGCAAATCTGACACCGGATTCGTGATCAGCATGCAAAATTAACTGCTAAATGATATCCAAGTTGACATTTGATGAACTAAAAATTGCATTCCCGTTTTGAATTATTATTGATGAATGTTATGTATATTCTTGCTTATATTGTTTGTATTGATCTCTTAATTTTTCTCGCAAAATAAAAATTTCATTTAAAAAACTTGATGTCGAGTTGGTTCGCTAGTAAACTGCTAAAAAAGTTGTCTGCCGTGATATTACGACTGGTACCTGCAATGGGCTCTGCCAATCAAAGAATTATTTCTGTAGAAGAAGAAGAATTACTGGTATTTACAAATTTTTATTGACCTTCTGGCTGAGTTCTCACGTAAGTTTCCAAATTGAATGTGTAAAACGTTTTTTCGTCTACCAGAGCAAATGTTTTAATGCCATATTTGGCTGGCTTCGTTGGGATGTACTGCTTAAACGCACAACGTCCTCTAAATGCTAATAGTTATTCATCTACTGAATGAAGTTATTTTGGAAATTCACCAAAAATATTTCCAAAAGTTCTCTAATGGTGCAAGTTTATCAATTTCTCATCGCTCCGTTCTTGCCTCCACATCATCGAACTGTAGACATCTTATGAGAAATCGAAACCTTTTCTCGCTTATTGCCAGGTAGCGTGACTTAACTTCGGATCCTTGAGAATTATCCCACATTTGATGTAATTTTTTTCCTATTTTATGTAATTTTTTTCTGGCAATTCTAAGAATACCAATCGAGAACAATATCCCAATCAATACATGCCGGAATTTCAGTTTCATTAGTTTGCCTACGATCTTGATGTCTTCGTTAATTGCTCTATATATTTTCAATAAAAATATTTGTCGAGACAGTTATTACTCTAACAACTGTTTCATTTAAAAATACCTTCAGACAATCAATTTCAGTTTTAACAGTGCGTGCGTTTCCTTTTGTACCAGGCATAAATTTGATGAGATTCTGAGAACAGATACGAACTTGTAAATTGGATCTATTTCTTTTCCAATTAGTCACCCTGTCCTTTCCTATTTAAAAATTTGAAGGACGGGCTTTATCAGAGTCGTCTGACATTCCTTCATCTTGGGCCAACTCCTCTTGCTCCGATGTTCCCAATTCAGAGTCTGTTTCGTGATCACTCCTTTCAGCAGAATTCACATTCACATCGAGATCATTTTCGAACTCATCATCACAGTCTTTTTCATCCCTACTTGATACCTCCTCAATCCATCGAGACCAAACGTCCGAGTCGTTGCTTGGTTCCACCTGTCTTCTTTTATTATCAGACATAGTATTATCTAAAATTTATCACAGTAACTACAAGTCTACCAAATGGCAATAAACAAAAGTTACCTTGGGAGGACCGGCCCTGGCAAGGTATGGTTAAGTTGTACTGATATCGTACTCCTAGTTTTTAATAAAAACAAGTGGTTTTATTAAATAGTTTTTTAAAATTAAAGTATTTATCTACTCGATCCTACTACGTAAGTTATCTGTACGTAATTATTATTTTATTAGTGTGAAAAGAAAAAGTCAATAATAAATATATACCACCGTACAATTGTTTTGTGAGGTTAGCTGTTATACGTACCTTATAGTAGCATGCTATTAGTTTTTCACTTACCAGAGTCGGAGTAAGGCCTTCACCGCCATACCTTAAAATGACTTCACAGAATGTAAACACACTTTCTGATCTAACCAGTCCAGTAAATCAACGTTCGAATATCACAAACAGTTATGCATCAGCCGCTTCACACTCTTTTCCGAGTAAGACCCAAGCAATTGTATTTAGTTGCATCGATAATGCTAAATTGCAGGATTATCTCATTCCTTTGGGCACAATCATCAACCCAAAAAATATTATTTTTTTATCTAGATTATCTCATAATAAAATCTGCATGTATTTGGCAAACAAAACCGTAGTAGATAACTGCATGACACAACATGGCTCTATAGAAGTACTCGGCGAAGTTGTAACAGCACGAAGACTTGTCTTTCCAGCAGAAAGACTAGTCTGGTCTGGAGTCTGCCCGTCAATTCCTCATCAAGTATTAGTTGAAGAATTACAGAATATCGGTTTAAAGCTTATTTCCCCAATATCATTTCTGAAAATTAGCTCGACTCTCCCCGAATATAGTCACATATTGAGCTTTCGGAGGCAAGTTTATATGAGTCCTATAACATCACCAATTCCAGATTCTATTCTTATAAATTTCGATCAAACACCTTACCGCATATTTTTGTCACAAGGTACACTTACCTGCTTTATTTGCAAAAATACAGGACACATATCATCCCAATGCAATAACAGTTCAGTAACGGAATCAACTCATATTAAGTCAAACAATGAAGTACCAAATCAAACAGCTTCAACACTTACACTACACAAGGTACCAAACACCCAGCAGTCATCAGTTTATCCATTATCAAATTCAAGCATATCAGCTACACCTACAAATCTCCATGACAAAGAAATTACTAACATTCCTACTCATAACAACACTTTCAATCAACCTCATTCAGTAGCAATACTGTTTTCACAAACTTCGGAAGCAATATCCTCCAATCTATTAGCTCCCTTTACATTAGATACAACTGCAGAAAATTCTAATAAAACTGATACATCAAGACATTTTTCTTAAACAACCATTTCAACCAATCCTACAAATAAAACTTCAAGCTCGAGTTCTGTCACTACCAATAAGTTTGCTTCAGTACTTCCAAATGTAATAAAGCCACAGCATCTAAGTGAAAACTCTAATAGCAATTACGAAAACGCAGCATTGGTGAGATCGTCACGCCTCTTTCAGACTCAGTAATTTCATCAGAAACCCTCCAAACCAAAAAAAAAACGCGCTCATCTAAAATCCCATCTACACGGGAAACTCTTAAAAATTTCATTGGTAATCATACCCCACCATTCGTTTTAAATTACCACCAATTGTCCTTACTGATTGATAATGTCCAAGGCTCCTCCGACACTATTAGCGTCGTCAAAGAATTTACAACTGATAATGGATGGTTTACTCCATCTTTTACAAAGCAGTTATCAATATGCAAATGATAGATCTACAAAAAGACAAGTTTACAAAACTTCAAAAGAAACTATACAACCATTTAGAGAAAGAGATTTCTGACTTAGATAGTGACTCTTCTTTAGACAATTGTTTTGTATCATCTAACTCCGAATCTGTTAACAACATTTAACGCGATACTTCAATGGAACATTGCTGGATTTTTTCATCATCTCCCTATGCTACAGCTTCTTTTATCTAAATATTCTACAGATATTATTATTTCTTATGAACATGGAAGAGGCGTCCAATTTTTATGGGTTCCCTCACACGTCGGAATAACAGGAAATGAAGAAGCTGACAGGACTGCACGAGAAGCAATTTTAAGTGATTTGTCAAAGCCGATAGAAAAGTGTGTTTTCAGTGACTTAGAAGCTTATTTTAAGAATAAAGTGTGGTGTTTGTGGCAAAATGAGTGGTCTCAAACTAGTTCCAATCTAAATAAAATCAAAAATAATGTGTCTCAGTGGTTTCTATCGTCGCTCAATAGACGAGAACAAATTGCGTTTGCGCGTTTACACCTAGGACATACCAGATTAACATACTCCTACCTTTTCACAAAGAAAAATCCACCTATATGTGATCAGTGTAACGTCCGATTAACAGTCGAATATTTTTTAACAATTTTTAGTAAATATGACCAAGAAAGACAGCGCTACAAGATCCCAAACGCTCTACTACAGGCTCTACGTCAAAACTGTTCCTGTAACAATATAGTGAATTATCTTAGATCCATAAACATTTTGTATAATCTGTAGGTGTTTAACTTTGTTTTTTATATTTTGTTTCGTCGCTAATAACCTTTTGGTGGATACGACATATTTTTCTAATAAAAACAAAATAAAAGTTATCTTGAATTTTGAAAACGATAGAATCAAGTATCTGCAACGTAGCCAGATGTTGTAACGTCAGTGAACACGTGGTCTATAATCGTAGACCAGTACGGTTCTATGCTTGACAAAATACTCAACTCAAGTGTTAAACACAAATAAAACTATAAATTAGAATAAGACGCCCTTTAGCAACAGCTATTGAAATGGACGCGTATGTAAGAGAAAATAACAGAGATGTACAAGTGTTTGAAAAGAGGTGGTCTACGAATGTAGACCACGTGCCTAACGGAGGATTAACTAACTGTCTTTCTTATTTCGTTATACTCACGAATGGAGTACTAGAAATCAGTTCGCGAAGGATTTTCCGCCTAGATAAATGACGTGTAATGGAATGCAAATTGTAGATTCTTTATGTCTGTTCTTTTATAATATTGTAACCTCGGAAATCTTTTTTGGATAGTGCTAGAAAGATAAGCAATGGAGACACTGCGGACGGCAGCCAGATGGTTGGTGGAAAGCGAGTCGTGGGTTCGAAACTAGCTTTTGGAACCGGGATTGGGTCCAACAGACGAAATAAGTAAAGATAGGATAAGAGATATTAGAAAAGATATAGAAATAAACAAAAAGATAGATGGGTAAAATTACCAAAGATAAGAGAAGATAGAAACAGGGCTCCACTCAATTTTTTGGGGTTAAGGAGAAAATTAAAAAACCTTAGCAAAGAAAAGAGATAAGGAAAGATATCCTTCAGAGATCAGAGATCAAATCCAAGGAAAGATCATCATCATCATCCAGCCGAATTTTCACATCCATTGTTGAATATAGGCTTCCTTCAAACGTCTCCAGTTCTCTTTTCTCTCTATCTCTAGCTGCTGCAATCCAGTTTGTTTCTATTCTCCTTAGGTCGTCGGTCCATTGGGTGGGTGATCTGCCTCGACTTCGCTTGTCGGCTCTTGGTCTCCACTCCAATAATCTCTTCGTTTATCTTTCGTCTTCCATTCTAGCAACATGTCCAGCCCACCTCCACTTTTGTTTATTCATTCGCAGTATAATATCGTCTACGCCAGTTCGTCGGCGTATCTCCTCATTTCTTACGCGATCTTTCAAGGTCAGGCCCAACATTGATCTCTCGATTCGCCTTTGTGTTACCCTCAGCTTTTCGGCAGTAGCTTTCGTTAAAGTTAAGGTCTCTGCTTCGTAGGTCAAGACTGGTAAGATGCATTGGTTAAATGCCTTCCTTTTCAGGTGAATTGGGATATTTAGTTTAAAAATGTCTCTCATCCGTTCATATGCCGCCCATCCCAACATGATTCGTCTATTTAGCTCGCAGGTAAGAAGCTCGCAAGGAAAGATACCAACACTTAATTATCAAATAAATTTGGTCAACACAATATATAAACAGATAATAAATATATTACGTATTACACTTACTTACCTACGAAACTTAATCAGCCTGATCTTTCTACTGGTCAAAGGTATAGTAATAAATTAATATACTAAGCAAATATTTAGAGCTACTATTTTATCAGGGAACTTGTTAGGAGCCGACAAATAAAATACATGCATAAAACATTAACAATATATTAAACACAAAATTATGATGCTGCTAAATGCAACACAAGTAATAAAAATACACAACTATGAAATGTAAAATATAGTTTGGCGTATCCCGAGATATTATAGGAAAGATAATGAGCAAAAATTATAGCAAACACAAAAGATAGCAAAAATTTCTTAAATCTAAATTTACGAAAAAAAAAACAAACAGGTTACGGAGTTGAAAACATTAACTAGCCAAACCGCACTTGGCTAGGTGGGTTACTATCTCGCACTATTAATTAATGCTAAACTGAGATGTTCATAGTTATTATTTATGGAAAGTTCTTGAATTGTTCTTTAAATTAATTACAGAAATCGGCAATCTACAGATGAAGATATGGATGAATGATGGGTGATACGTCCAGATAATGGCAGGTGGTATGATACCATACCATATTACTCGCCCAGATAATTTGCAGATAAAGATTATGGTAACTTACATAATTCCTGATGACGGCAGCTTAATTCACTGAATTTAATATACTGTACTGGTATTCAACACTGAATTTAATTAGGTACCATTAAAGGTAGTGTAGAACTATATATAACTTAATATAGTCTAAGACAAGAAAACTGAAATATAGAGTGTATACACACTTAGAAAATAATTCACAGAGACGATAATTTCAGGTAAGCGACCACACTCAACGAGAGGCCACCGAGAAGTCTCATGAGATAATCGACCTGTGCTCAACGAGAGCCCACCGAGAAGTAAGTTGGTTCCACTAAAAATTTCACCAACTATTCAAGAAAAAAGAAGAAGAAGGTATATCCCCCACCTAAAATTATGAGGAAGTAAAAATTCCGAAAGTTTTGAGTTACCGGTACCAACAATTGGACATGAGAAGCAGACAATACTTGGGATTAAGTTATTGTCAAAAGATACGGGCCTTCGGCGAAAATTATCAATTTATGTAAAAGAACCTGCATACCCAAAAGCATTAGATCTTTTCATACTGAGTATTAAGATGGAAAGGATTACCTACCTTTAGTAATTAGGGAAGTCCATTATAATTTAGTAGATCCAATATTATTTTCTTATCGTAAACACGGGAATTCCTAATCATCGAAGTATCGCACGGGGGTAAAAGAAATTAAAAATAATTAATATTTTAATAATAAAAAAAATGTTACAATATGTTGCTTCCAAATTTCAAATATAAGAAATCTCTGGATTTAAATTTCACATATTTTATAGAAGTATTATGTAATAATATAAATAAAGCAGAAAATAATTTTTCACTTCTAAAACAATCCTAATTTATATTTATATTACATATTTAATTTTTTAGGCAAATGGAAATGGGTACCAGAACCACGTAAATGGATACAATCAAAGTAGAGAATATTATAATCAGACTCGACAACCTCTCAGTCCTTCGGCGTACAATCCAAAAAATTATTTTAAATCGAAAACACAAGATGAAGAAATTAGAGAACCAAAAGGATATTCATATAAAGCAAACAAATATTTAGAAACGTATGATCGACAGAAAGAAGCTGAAATAAAAAATCAAATTCAAACTCAAGATTTTTATAATACTCATGCAGTGGACACCTTGCAACCCAATGGCAGGCAAGCATCAGATACGTTACCAGCTAATAAAGATAGTTATTGTACACCTGAGAATCGGGCTAAGGAAATAAACAGTCAACAAGCAGTCATTGAACAGCCGATACATACATATAATGGTTCTCATAATAACTCGAATATTTCAAAGTTACCAGCAGTTCAGAAACAAAAAGAAGAAATAGATTATGAAATAATCAATGTAATAGATGAAATACAATCTGAACATGAAATTTTAAAGAAAAGTCTTGAAGAAAAACATGCCGCTATCATAAGGCATGCTTTACAAAACTCCTGCGCTCCACAACTAAGTCAAGAATCGATGACGGATGGAACAAATGGTTCTACTAATTCCGTAAAAGATGAAGTTTTACCAGAAGATTCCCAAGAAAATCAGACACCTACGAAGCCTAAAGGTCGAAGGAAAAACTTAAAATCTAAGAACTCTACAAACGAATTTGTGGAAGTGGAAACGCCACCACGATTCATGGTAAATAAAATATATAAGTATAATATACACTCTCTCAAAAGTGACACATAATATTTGGTTTCTGTAAGTATTTCGAGAAAACACAAAAATATATTTATTTGTATAATAATTTGCTGCAAATCTAGATTCTTTGTTACATTTTTCAAAGATATCACGGTATCGTCTTAGTTTTAAAAATAACATCTTATATATAATTGAAGAGATGCTAGTCGTTTTAGAGACTAATTAAGCAATGTAGGAAAAATGAATATCAAACTTGCCTAGTTTCACCGCCTAGATACACCTAGCTCTTGACTCCATGATAAGTCATCAGAGCTTTTGGAGTCTTAGTCTTAACCTCCCAGATCACTTCTATAATACAGTTACACTTCTTTAAAATCAACTTTATGGAACAGCAACTTGTGTACAACGCTCTTACAGACTGATAACTATAAACTTCAAAACTCAAAATACTACTACTACTAACTTATTAAACTGTTTGGTCGGGCTGTTAGGCCGTTGTCTTGTGAGATTTGTTCTCGACGTTTCGCCAATACTAGCGGTTGGCATCTTCTGGAGTTGTTAATGCTTCGCTTGTAAGCAGAAACTGACGTCGCGTTATAAAATAAAAATAAAAATAAAATAAAGACGTTTATTGCCTAATAATAAACATCACATTTTAAACTTAAAAAATGTTTGCCTTCTTTCTTCCTGATGTCCCGCTTTTGCACCATCTTCTTCTGGCATTCTTCTTATCTCCCTCTCGGCACCCTGGACTTCTCTGGGTGGTTTCTTCGTCTTTTTCTGTAGGTACTTTTTACGGCATCGTATCTACTTCCCTACTTGACTGTTTTCCGGCAACCATCCGGCTAGACCCTGATCAGGTGATCGATCAGTCTATGGGTTTGTCTATGTATCCTCTGGATCCTGTTCTTCTCGAGGATATCCCTGGTCTTATGGAGTCGTCTTGTGGTCTGGTGGAAGAAGTATCTAGTCCTGTTCTCAGCCACCTCCCTCAGTGGTGTATACTGGAGCCATTCTTTGATGGTTGCATTCGTTATTTTCTCTTCCCATGATGTTGCTTCGATGATCCGGTAACATGATGTCCCTGTAGTTTCAAGTTTCTTCCAGTGGGTCTCCGCTACTGAACTCCATACTGGGACTGCATACAACATCACCGACCTAACGTAGGCCTGGTATAACTGAATCTTCTTGGCCTTCGTTAGGGGGCTGGACCTGTGAATAAAAGGAAGAATTAGTTTTTTAGTAATATTACCTTTTACCTTAGTTTTTTCTGTATGCATCCAGAAGGTAAGTCTTCTGTCGAGGTAGACTCCTAGGAATTTGACTGATTCTGCTGCCTGGATTCTGTTTCCTCCTACTGTTATCTCATTCGCTGGTGGTCTCGTCTCCTGGGTGAACATGATGAATTGTGTCTTCTCCGCGTTGATCTTGATTTTCCATTTTTCGGTGAACTCCGTGATTTTTTCTAAGTGGTCTTCTATATTTCGGATGACTCTTCTGTCTTTCTTTCCGGATGCATACACTGCTGTATCATCTGCATATAGGGCTGTTGAAGTTTTGTGATCTGTAGGGAGGTCTGAAACAAAAATATTGTATAGTAATGGAGATAAAATGCTGCCCTGAGGCATTCCTTCCTGTAATTCTTGAAGTGTTGACATCTTTTGGTCAGCTGAAACTTGAAAGGTCCTATTAGATAAATAAATATCACAAATGTTGATTAAGTAGTGCGGAAGTCTAGCTTTGTCCATCTTGAAGATTAGTGCCTTTTTCCAAACCGTGTCGTACGCTTCTTCTATGTCCAGTATGGCTAGTCCTGTTTTTTGTTTCCTGTTGAATTTTATCTTCGTATCGCTGATTATCCTTGCTAGTTGGAGTTCGCAATTTCTTCTTCTTCTAAATCCAAATTGGTCTTCTTGAATAATTCTTCTTCTTTCTGTATGTTTCATCAATTTCTTGAAGAGGATTTTTTCCAGTATTTTTCCCATTGTTTCAAGGAGAGAAATAGGCCTGTAATTTTCCGGTCTTCTTCCATCTTTGCTGGGTTTTAGGAGGGGTATTATCTTCACGTGTTTCCAGTTACTTGGAAAGTGTCCTTTTTCCAAGCAAAATTTGTAGATGTAGTATAGTTGTACTATAATCTTCTTTGGGAGTTCCTTGAGGGTGATGTTGTGGATTCCTTCTTGTCCTGGTGCTCTGCTTCCTTTGAGTCTCCTGATGATTTTTCTTACTTCGTATGGGCTGATGTAGTCTTCTTCTTCTACTAGGAATTCGTTTATTCTTTTAATTCTGTTGTATTCGTCGTCCACTTCTTGTCTTGTTGCTAATCTTCTTGCTATTGCATCCACTTTTCTTTGGGTTTCAAAGTGTGTTCCCTCGTTGTCGATGATTTGTGGCATCTTTTGTTTCCCTCTTTTTTGGCTTTCAGCATTTTCCATACGTTTTCATGTTTTTCTTCAGCTTTCCTAATGTTGTTATGCCACTGGTTTTCAGTAAGACTACTCAGTCTTATTCTTATTTCTTTGGATAGTGCATCTCCATAATCCTTGAATTCCTGTCTTCTTGTCCTTTGGAATGCTCTTCTGGCCTTATTTCTGTCCTTGATGATGTCCTGGAGTTCCGTAGGAATGATAAGTTCTGTGTTGTTCGTCATTGATTTTCTTTGTTCGTCATTGGTTTCGTCATTGGTTTCTTGTTAATTCTTCGATTTTTTCTTCAACTTCTTCTATTGATTGGAATTCTCTTTTCATCTCTATTTGGTTTAGCTGTCTTCTGTAATTAGGCCAATTTGCATCTTTCCATCTCCATCTTTCGACTGGTTCTATGATGGGAAGATCTATTCTTAATGTCATCTTTCCTATAACTGGTTTGTGGTCCTAACTGCATTCAAAGTGGGCCTTTACATCTTCCATAATGACGTATTTTGTAATGAAAAAGTCCAACGTAGAGTTGTGGTGATCTCTTTGAGAGCTGATTCTTTTTGGTTCGTCTGGTGCGAATATCATCTTGTTTCTGTCTTCAGTATATCTTAGTAATGCAATACCAGCTCTTGAATTTGCATTACATCCCCAGGCTTCATGTTTGGCATTGAAATCTCCCGTGAGGTCGACGGTTGGTGCTGAATTAAGCATGGCATCTATTTCTTCAATGGCTAGAATATCTGACTGTTTCCTGGAAATAGAAAAAATATTAGTAGTTCCAATTTTGACCCCTATATTTTTAAATTCGTTTGTTTCTATGGCTATTTGGTTCCATTCTATGTTATTTTTAACATAAATAGCCACTTCTCTTTGATGCCGCGTTGTACTACGGAGGCAATATTTTTATTTCCCACTCGCCTCCCCTCCACTGGTTTTGACTTGAGGGGGCGTGTCGTTGTTTATAGAACCTTTTCTTTCTTCGTGTTTGGCGGGAAGAGCGTTTGTGGATTTTAATATTGGTATCCATATCTTGTTAATTTTCAGTCCTTCTTCTATCCGATTGAAATTATTTGGGTGCTTGTATATTTCCACCGCTTCCCGATACAATCGTGGGTAGTACTGTGAAGTTTTGTCCAGCTTCTGTGTTTCTTCAAATAGTATCTGATGTTCTCCGCTTCCCAAAGCGTGTTCGGCAACGGCAGATTTGTCAATCTACATATGTCTAAACGGCAATGGCTTTTATGTTCATTTATCCTGGTGTTTGTGTGTCTTTTTGTGGTTCCTACATATACCATTCCACATGTGCATGGTATTCGGTATACTCCGGCCGTTGCTAATGGGTCGCGTTTGTCTTTTACAGATCTAAAACAATCCTTCATTTTCTTTGTAGACTTGAAGATGGTCTTTACGTTGGCTTTCTTGAGTATTCGCCCAATTCTGTTCGTTACCCCCGATATATAGGGCAAGAACGCTTAGCCTTTACATTCTGTTTCTTCGTCCCTTCTTCTAGATACGTTACGCCATATTAAGAACGCCATATTAAGAAAGCTTTTAATCCTGCATTTAATAAAAAAGGTTTCAGCATCTCCCACACTGATACCACACCTCTACCGTCAGAAGACCAGGCTATTGACTATACTGCAGAGCCATCTTCAGAGCGTCCAAATTATTAACAGCCAATAAAAAATAGTTTGGAAGAAATTGTTTCTTATACATCTACTACTAGTGATAAGGCAAGAAAAATTAATAATGCCATTTGGTACTTCATTTGTAAAGACAATCAGCCGTTTTCTGTGGTAGATATTGAAGGCTTCAAACATCTGCTTAAAGTTACTGCTCCTTACTATAACATGCCTAGTAGAAGTATCATTATTTGATGGCTTGATGGGAAATATGATGTGTTGTCAACTTTATTAAAATCAAAAATTTGTAGTGTTGAACAGGTGACTTTGACCAGTGACATTTGGTCAGACATGCAGATGAGTAGTTTTTTAGGTGTAACTGCTCATTTTTAACAAGTCACGGAGTTTCAATTAGTTACATTATGATTTTACGATCTGGATCAAAGACGTACACCTGAATATATAGCAGCAGAGCTCCTTAGAACCTGCAATGACTGGGGAAAAAAGAACTACCTTCCTTTTTTCGTCCACCCACTAAATTTAGTTGCCCAAAATAGCCTACAAATACCTGATTTACAAAATATGCTATTAAAAATAAAAGCCATTGTAAACCTTTTTAAACATACTTTTGTGGCAAGTGTTGAGTTACAAAAGACAGTGAGAGGTGAAGCCGAACCAATACTCATACAAAATGTGTCCACTCGGTGGCACAGCACATACTATATAACTCAGAGATTTTAGGAGCTGAAAAATTTGGTAAGTGATTTATTGATACGCCATAAAACAGCACCTGCAATGTTGACTGGGTTAGAATTGAATAAAGCCTCATCACTTGTTAATATACTTAGACCTCTTGAAGCTGCAACAAAAGAAATATCTGTGAATAAGTATGGTTCTAGCAGTAAGGTAACCATTTTTGTTCACTGCATGATTTCCAAATTGAAAGCCCTTTCAATTGATGAACCATTGGTGACGGATGTTCAAAAATTAATCCTGAAAGAGATCAGCAAACATATGGGTGCTATTGAGCAAGTTTCTTTTTTAACTATATAGATGAAACTATTAATGTGAAATCTAAATAAAAAAATTTAGAAAAAGTTTTAAAAGATTTTATTTTTTGGAGTGACCATAACCTGGTGCAAAGAAATTTAAAATCAAATAAAAATGAAGAGAGTATTTCAGATGAATTTTTGATCTTTTTAAGAAAACCAGTTAGTAGATTGGAAGAAAATCCCTTTTCAGAAAATTGGAAGTATGGGCTGATTATAAACATCAATTTCCAAAATTTTACAACATCTCTTATAAATATTTAAATATAGTAGCCAGTTCTGTACCATGTAAAAGACTTTTCTAAAGTTTTAAACCAGCAACATACTCAGATACAAGGAAGGAGAGTAAATAAAATACTGTTTCTACAAAGTTTGGAAAGAAAATATTGGGATCTATAATTTTTTAATTGAACTTAACAATTTTATAACATTACATTACATTAAATTAATTATTTTATAACAATACAATTTTATATTTTGTGTTATTTTTTGATTTTATATGTGTATTATTATATTCTGTATTCTGAGCTATTAGAATCTATACTCCTTAAATGTATAGGCTTTTCATCCCAAATTAGTAGGAGTATTATTTGTTTTTATACTGTTTATTGCAAACAAGCATAGAGAGCTATGCAAGCATGTTAGATTAGGCTAGCAATACAACTAACAATAAAAATAAAGTAATTGTAAATTATGAACATATAATTAAGATATAAAAAATACTAAAGAACGTACATATAGTTATTGAAAAAAATACAAAAATGAAGAAAGTGTCTTAAGTGATTACTATGATACTTGTAGGAAAAGGAATAAAGAAATGGTGTGGTTATGCAGTATGTAAGAGTGGTACACGCTACAAATAATTTAAAATCATAATAAATATTGTGTTTTTATGAAATTAAGCCACAATTGATGGTAATGATAATTACATTTTTAACTAAAATTTAATGTTTTGATTTCCACTCCAGGAATCGTTTTCAAAAAAGCTTATTTAACAAACAGTGTATGTGAAACTTAGTATTGTGTTTATATGAGATTAAACCACAATTGACTAATGATAATTACGTTTTTAACTAAATTTTATTTATACCATACTTCATTCCATATTCCTAAAGTTAATAGTTCTCGTAGTAGAACAATCTCATAAGTAATGTAAATGGAAAAAAAGTAGGATCCTGTCCAGAGGCGATCCCCCCTGCCTTGCGGTAGACACTTATCGATAATAAATGATAATGACTCTCTTAGATCTCTGATAGGACTTTACCAGTAATTTGCAACAAGTTTAATATATCAGTTTCTCCAAATAATCAAAAGTGCAGGCTATGAGTGATTCAATAAATATCTATAGTTATGGTAATATCTCAGAGCTCACTCAGTAAGCCATATTAAAATCTAGGTAATAACTAATCTGGTTGTAACAAATATTTTGTAGATAAATATAAAATAAAATAAATTGAAAAAATCTAAATCTTTTCATAACCTTCTTAATTAAAATGCAATTGTCTTTAATGTTGAGCGAAAAAGGTAAAACTGCTAGATAATGTGCAGTGCATATGAAATATATAAAAAGGATACTGTAAATATCATCATCATCATTTTGGCTTTACAACCCTGTGTGGGTCCTAACCTCCCCAAGAATTTTTTTTCAGTCGTTCCTATCCATCGCCTTCCTCCGCCAAGAACGTATTACTGTAAATACATTTTTATATAATACTATTAAGGAAGATTATAAAACATTTTTAAATTCGATTTAGAAATTACTTGTTTCATATTTTTATAACTAGAGTAATCGAGTTTCTAGGCTTTCGAGTGTTAGCAATAATCCAAAACAGTCGCAAATTCGTAAAGTATACTATACATAGTTTCCCGATAAAATAACCAAAGAAGAAATTGTTAGTTTTAGAAACTCATTTTAAAACACTATTTTAAGATATCAACAAGTTACAAAATTTGTTATCGAGGTGTGTTACAGTAGTCAAAAGAGCTGATGTAAAATAAAAATAGTTTTCCAGATAAATTCTTAAATTTCAGAAATCTTCTTTGGAATTCGTTGGATAATATGTATCGACTACAATATAACAGAGTTTTAATTTATATTTGTTTTATAGCAGAACAGACCACCATTTCAGTATCAATATCCAATACCTCCATCTGCTTACCAAATGGCTGGAATGCATCCTCTCCATCAAATGTATGCTATGCACTCAGCGTTGCAACAAAATCAATCGTATAATATACCAAATAATTTTGTTCCTCCCCAATCTTATACAACAAGTAAGTATGCATATCAGCAATATAAATACTATACAGTGTGTAAAAACCAAATGGAATAAATTTATTATTTAGGTTACTGTACACATTTATAAAAAAATCCCAAAATAGGAAGTATAGGCTTGTGATATATCGTTTGAAACGTCTTTTCATTCTCATTCAAAAATGTTGCCGCTTTCAAGTTTATTAAGATTAACTAAGATAAAATAAAATAAAATCATATGCAAAAATCAAATCAATTCAATACATAAAATAACAGTTTTAAAATGATTGGTTACGGAGATAACACCCGAACACAACAGGAAGTAACTCACCTATTTCATGAGAAATTTCCGAATTTACCGCCTATATCCCAAGCAACAATAAGTAAAATAGAGAAGCAGTTTCGCGAGTTTGGTCATGTAAGGCAGATAAAAAAAGAAGCTGCCAATGCACTGAGTGATGAACTCAAATTAGATGTGTTGCTTAAGTTTCAGGAAAATCCACATACATCGAGTAGACAGACATCCACTACATTCAGTGCTAGCCATACATCGATAGTAAACATATTAAAAGAAAACCAATTAAATCCCTATAAGATGATACCTACTCAGGGGCTCATGGAAGACGATTTTGATAGGAGAACTTTTTTGTGAGCAAATGATGGACATCTTGGATAACAATATTATTCAATTAGAAGACGTTATGTTTGCTGATGAGTGTACTTTTTCACTTAACGGTCATGCTAATCGGCAAAATTGCCGCTACTGGGCCACGGAAAATCCTCACTAGATGAGAGACGAACACACTCAATACCCTAAAAAGGTTAATGTTTGGGCAGGGATTGTAGGAAACAATATCATTGGTCCCTTTTTCATTGAGGGCAACTTGAATGGCAACAATTATTTGGCACTACTTCAAAATGATGTCATTCCAACGTTGGCAAATTTATATCCTGATCCAGGAAGTTCTAGCGAATACGATATGGTTTCAGCAGGATGGAGCACCACCACATTACCAACTTAATGTCCGGCAGTACCTCTATATAATATTTCCCAATCGGTGGATAGGGAGGCGAGGATCCATTGAATGGCCAGCGCGATCACCTGATTTTACATTCCTAGATTTCTTTTTATGGGGATATGTGAAGAGCCATGTGTACAAAACTAAAACTTCTGATTTAAATGACTTAAAAGAACGAATAACGCTTGCGATTAGGTCGATCACGCCTGTTATGTTAAATAATGTTATAAGACAGTTTTATTTGAGATTAGGATGTTGCCAAGACGTTCGCGGTAAACTTTTGAACATGTACTTCATTAACATTCATAGGTCTTTTTCGTGTTCTACATTTTATTACGTTTTGCATTACATTTTAGTTTTTGATTGTACTGTAGCGAATTTCGATAACCACATGGTTTTAATTTATTTTATCTTAATTAATCTTAATAAACTTGAAAGCGACAACATTTTTGAATGTATAATGAAAACACCTTTCAAACAATATATCACAAGCCTATATATAAGGGGGTTGAAGGTAGGGACAAAGACTGCGGCAGAAGAAACCTACGTTCAGTTGAAACAGAGTTCAGAAGTTGTAGGGCTAACAATAAATACAAATAAAACAAAACTACTCATACAAACCAGATCAAATAGACAGGCGCAACAACAACAATTTATAGACGACATAGAATACGTGAATAGATTCACGTATTTGGGAATGGATCTGGTCGAAAATAATGAAGAAGAACCGGAAATAAATAGAAGGCTTATGCTGGCAAACAAAGCCTATTTCGCGATGGGCCACATATTCAAATCGCGAGACGTACACCGGAAAACAAAACTCCGGGTATATAAAACAATAATCCGACCCATAGTAAGTTATGGGTGTGAAACATGGGTTATAACACAGAAATCTACCAATGCATTAGACGTGTTCGAAAGAAAAATATTGCGTAGAATACTGGGTCCAATAAAGGAAAATAACAACTGGTGAATTAGATATAATAACGAAATATACGAACAATACACTGAACCAACACTAGCACAATACACTAGACTGCAGAGATTACGATGGGCAGGGCATGTGGCCCGCATGCATGAGAACAGAATCCCCAGAAAATTACTAAACGCAAGAATGCAAGGAAAAAGACCTGTTGGAAGACCAAAAAAGAGATGGGAAGACGAGGTAGATGAGGATGCCAAAAATCTCCTAAAAACGCGTTCATGGAAAAGAACAGCAGTAAATAGAGATGTTTGGAGAGGTTTAATGAAGGAGGCCAAGGCCCGGCTTGGGCTGTAGTGCCATTGAATGGATGGAAGGTAGGGATTGCATTTTCACGTTAATGAATGTCAAGTTATAATTTAAATTTGACGTTTTTCGGTATTTTTTATAAATATGTACAGTAACCTAAATAATAAATTTAGTCCATTTGGCTTTTACACACTGTATGTACATACTCCTAGATATTTTTCGCGAGTCGCAATTATGTGTTATAAATATTATAATAATGTCAAATTTAATACACATATAAAAAAATATGTGTATTAAATTTAAATATTAAAAATAAAACACATTTATTTTACTTCTTTTGATAATCCTTTAAAATTTGGTAAATAATTTTTAACAGCACTTCTCACTAATTCTGTTAAATACTGATTAGTTAATACTGATCATTGTTTGGATCGAAAAAAGCGATAGAGATGAATGTGTCAGGCATAAGGAAACAGGATACAACTAAAGCAATGAATGCTATAAATCTGAGAAATGGTCAATAGAATAATAAAAACTATTGGAAGCTAGGCATTGAATAAAATCGTCGGAAGTTTTGAAACATAAATATTTTAAAATAAAATATTTTAATGACAATTATTAATTGATAATTCTCAAGGAGTGTGCCACAAGAAGGCTCACAAAACGGTATAAAAAATATCTTGCAGGTCTAAGTTAACAGTTATATGGCCCGTAATAGATTATATCTAATAGAATAATTAAGCAAACTATAGATTACATTCAGTAAGCACAGAATATCCTAATCCTTGCAACCTCTGGTTGATGAGAAATAATTTATAAATGAATTTTTAAAAACAGAATAATTCTGTACCAAAGTAAACTATAAAGAATCTTCTTCATGATAAAAGTAAGCAACGCATTTAAAATTGGCTAGAAGATAAACAAACCCCCTCTCAAAAGCAAATAAAAACTACTCTTTCAGGCGAACTCTATTTTTAATATCTGTGGAAAATAGAACTAGGATCAGGTCAAGATTAAGGTGGAATGAAAATTGCCAAAAGTTGGCAATGAAGAGAGACGACTAGCGAAACTTAAATTGATGACGAAGATAATGATGATAACTATGATGATAGTTAACTATAGGATTACGCAGCTTTGTTGTTCTTCTTCTCCTTCTTCCTTCTAGTACGTAGGCTTTAAAGCCTGTTTCTTCTTTAATATTAGCCTCCTAAATTGTTTAAATTGTTGCACCATTTTTTTCTTGGTCTGTCAATACTTCTTCGTCCATTTGGTGACATATCTCGTGCTATTCGTACTATTCTATCCTCTGCCATTCTACTGATGTGTTCGTTTCCATTTATGTCTTCTATGTTGCATGTTTTTGCTTCTCTACCTATCCAACAGACTTCAATATCCATCTTTTGATTGCATGTTTTTGCTTCTCTTCCTATCCAACAGACTTCTCCCTGATATTCCTCGGAGTATTTTCATCTCTGTTGTTTCTAGCAGTCATGTCTTTTTAGATGGGTCAGGTCTTGTCTTCGCCGTGTATGTTAATATACGGCGGAGACAAGACCTGACACATCTAAAACGAGACGACTGCTAGAAACGGCTTTATTGTTGAGTAATAAATATAGTCAGTGATTGATGGATTTGACCGTTACTTGATGCAAATTCATTTTATCTAACAATAAAACACTGACACCTTTGGTTTCAAAACATTTACTAAAATTGATCAAATTTCAAATTCTTCACATTCAAAATAAATGCCTTAAGCTATTTTTGCTAAACTCATGGAAATTCACAAATTAAAAAATACAGATATAATTCCGAATGACTAACTTGAAATAAATAGTTCACTCCTCCTCAACTTATTCAGTTAAAGAGTTTTAAGTGTAAACGCATACCAAAAATACATCACTTAAGACAGGCACTCTGCTAAAACAGCTATAGTGTTAGTAAATTATAATAAGTTTTGTGAAAGTTTTAAAAACAAACGTTTTCAGTATTTCGTTGTCAGAAATATGGTCTTTTACAATAATTAGTCAACGCAGAATTGAATAATTTTCAAATTATTTGATTTGATGAATCGCCAAATTTAAATAAACTATTTATTTTGATTGTGATTTGATTATTCTTAAAAATTTTGTGTTGGCTTTATAAAAATTTCTAATATTTATTATTAGTCTTTAAAGTTTTTTATATTTTTTTTATTGAGTTAATGTCTCGACAACTAATGATCATTGGCATGGTACAATCAGGTACCTAGTGTAGTGTGTGTGTATGTGGGTGTGTGTGTAGAGTAATTGTCTTGATACTTAGCAAAGTCGACGTCATTGTCTTTGCTAAGAGACGCTAATTATATCCGAACGTCTGCGGTCCCTCCGGTGAGTACCGATCGCACAAGGATAGAAATTATTTTCATTCATTAATTTTTAATAAACGAAAATTTCTTCACCCAGGTGAGATTCGAACTCACGACCTTTAGGTTTAAAGGTAGGCGCTCTTACCACTGAGCCACAGAGGCGGTTTTCATAAAATTAAACACAAATATATACGCGTTTTTAAATACTTTAAAATTGTAACAGTTTTTAGTTTATAACCTAAATTTGGTAAACATTTTGTATTTTTTAGCTCGAACTATGTCATATTACAATGTGCCAAATTCAATGCAGTCGATGTATACCAATGGAATTCATCCAGCAATGAATTACATGAATAATTACCAACCATATCAACCTATTCCAGGTATATATGATTTACATTTTCGCTATAATTACATAAATGTATTAGTTCTATTGTACAAAGACGTATTGTACAAATTTTCCAGTTAGAAATGTTGTTCTAGAGAAATCTGAATATTTAGGTTACTTTAAATATCAACAATAAATCAATATTTACTCTTTATTTCATAAAATTTCCTGAAATCTCTTAAAAATCACATACTAGAATACACTCTCAAAATAATAAGGTAAGTCAGACAAGGATGTATGCTAACACCTCTATTATATAACGCTTACTTTGAGAAAGTCGTACTTGGAACTATGAATCTGAAACAGCCCGGATAAAAGAGGATTGATTTTTAATTAACGATATCAAGTGTCCTGATGAGGTTATGAAAAATAAAGTGTTAAGTAGAGTGAATAAATAATAACAATAAAAGGCAGTAAAAGAAATATATTTATAATATGTCAGGCATATAATAGAGTGAAAACGTCATCTTACGATTTATATTCCATGACAAAATAGATGGCAGAGGTAGTGCCAAATGGGTAATGAAGACGTTATTTTGGCTGAGGAACATAGGAAAATAGTATGGTTGTTGCTCTTAATATTGTGTTGCAGTCCAATGCACTTGAAGAAGAAAAGGAAGGAGATGAAAATAAATATGTATTTGATATTTCATTATTATTTTTTTATATGATGTAACCAAATTAAAATAATTTTGTAGGTCAACAACAGAACTTTTACCAATATCCTATTCCAAATTATTCGATGTATTATCCAGAAACAGGTTATGTTCCATTTCGACCTAATCACTTTGCAGGGGGTCAATATTCACAACAGATTCCCAGTAAGTATCAATTTGGTAATAATAAAACTATTTATTTAGTAATAAACTAATGTATAAATAAATAAAAAAAAGTTATTTAAAAAACGAGTAAGACTTGTTTAAAATAGAGAAAATTTGGTCTCCAAATATGTCAATATTACATACATAATTTAAAGAAAACAATAGAATAAAATATAAATGCCGTATTTGTATTATTCCTTTTTATTTCTTGAGCCCTTGTCAGGGCGTGTTGAAAATTTTAATATTTTTAGCTTGCAATCCAATGCTCTTTGGTTTTTTAAAATCGCTCAAGTAAATTCAGAAAAAAATATCCTGCAGTTTGAAAAAGATAGTTTCGAGAAAAATGCGTTAAAAGTTTTTATACCGTAATTTTATTGAATAAATGGTGGAAAACGTTTTTTTACCTTTAATCGGCCATTCCTGGTGAATACTGAGGACCTTCGTTGTCTAAGAATTGCTGTGAGTAACTGGCCAAAGCTTTTTTCTTCTCGACCTTCGAATTCGACTTCCTTTTGAGTGCTCACTGCTCCTCCTAATTGCTTGAGAGATACGATCCTCGTCAACTTTTTGCGCAAAAGCCGTTGCCGTTTCGCCAATTTTGATGGCCATAAGATCCATAATAGTTAGGTAAGTTCTCGAGCCTTCGTTGAAGATAGATGCTGCGATCCAAGATGCAATTTCAGTTACATTTTTGAAAGAAAACTTGCTTTTCGGAGAAATATTCCAAATCAAATGGTTGTAACTCTCGTTACTATTTTGAGTATTTTTTCCAAGACATCTTTGCAGCAACTCATCACTACTGAGTGACTCGTAAACTGGCAAAATGTACTCACAAATGCTTGGATCTAATGATCTACTGCCGAACAGTATAATATCACATATATGTATACAAAAGACGTTTAGACCGGGAGAGGAAGCAGCTGGCGCGTCGAGCTTCACGCATGAATAGAAACCGGTTTTTACTCATAGGCATGCGCTCTTACAAATATAGCAGTAACTTTTTTCTCTTACGAATTTAGTACTGGAAATTTTGGTTGGGAACTTTTGAACGTATATAGAATCAAAATATGTAAAAATCTCAAATTTTTTTTTTTCAATTTCAAAGGAAAATGTCCCCTTATGCAGGGATTTTCCCACACAATTTGGTCTGCTCAGCGTGTTGAAGATCTTATTCTTGGTTTCTTCTGCCTTCTACCTTTCCTTCTACTACCAATAATTCCTTTGTCCACGTACTTCTATCTGTATGAAGTAAATTAGGTATGCTCGGTTTACCTTTTTTATTAGCCTGTCTTTTATATGAAGCTTTTCCAGAATCGACAGGTTGGTTCTTTGTTCTTTCCTGGGCACGCGTATAATTCTTCTATAAACCCACATTTCGGAGGCTTCTATTTTACTCCTATCGATTTTTTGAGAGTCCATGTTTCAGCTGAGTATGAAGCAATGAAAAAATAAGGGTATTGACCAACCTGAGCTTAGTATTCCTTGTTATTGTTTGGCATTTCCATATTTCAATCAAGTTAGCTGTTGCGGTTCGGGCCATTGCTAGTCGACGTTTGATTTCTGAGGATCACTCGCCCCTTATTGACGATTATTAAACTAGCTCATAGTATAAATAAAAAAACATAAACTTAAATAAGTACACAAGTAATTCTTATACTTTTTATTATCCAGTGAGTAAAAATACGTTGGATTATAGAAACATCTACGTTCGATGGTAGAAAATTAAAAACATAATATTTAAAAGAAAAGATCTTTTTAAAAAAATCTTTTCACTGTTTATATTTGTATACCTATATATAAATATATACTTATATTAAATTTTATCTTATACGCATATCAAAGTTATTAAAATGTTTTTTCATTATTTTAACTTGTTTTAGTCCCACCTGGTCAACCTACTAAAGAGGATGCCATTCCTTTACCGGAAGATGTGTATTCTTGTCAAGTAAGGACCAAAAAGTTTATCGCAGAATATAAAAATGGGGAGTATGTTCTAGTACCAGAGGAGGGTAAATTATTTGTTAATGATTATAGATTTTTAGAGTCTACATAGAAATAAGATATATTTTAATACTTATGTACCGGGTGGTCCAATAAGCCGATCTCTCGGCTATATATCAGAAACTATTCATGTTATAACTTTAGGAGAAAAAATTCCTTAATAAAAGTGGCCAAGAGAAATCGCTGGAAATAACTTTCAAGATTCTGGATTAACCGCTAGGGGGCGTAACCCGCGAAGAAAATTTTGAAAACCAGTTTTTTTGGGAAATATGTCCAATTATACCAAGTGTTAAATAAGTAAACTAGAAAGAGGCATAAATTCTGCACAAAGTTGTTCAAGTACTTTTTTTTTATTTTATTTAAAATAAAGGGTGGGGGGGAGTGGGAAAGTATTTGTGGATAAATACATATAACTTTGGTTCGGATCAACCGATTTTAACAAAATTAGTGTCATTAGAAAGAGTATGGATGAATTAATTTATATCTACTATAAAATAATTGCATTAATTTTAAATTGTCGTAGATAGAGGGTACTTTCGAATAGAAAAAACTAAAATTTGTTTTTCTTTAAAATATTTAATGGAAACACCTATTTATTGTAAATTATAATGGAACTGGATCAAATTCGTAACAAAATGGCGCAAACGGCATGTTAATAGCTTTGATCAAACTCGAGATATGAATAAAAACGCATAAACATAAGTAAGTATAGTATTGACACACCCTGTATTATAAAATAAATTAAAAATAAGTCAGTAGGATACTTTCAAAATTTTTTATAGCAGTAAACTCTTAATTTGATACCTATTTTGACCATTGTTATTTCATATGATTAAAAATTGTTTTTTCGAAACTAAGTAGGCTACGACAATGAATTTGACAGGGAGTTCATATTGTTTATTTATTGACAGCAGTCAAAATATTGTTGAGAAGTGTTATATGTATTATAATTCGAATTGAAAATTGCATTTTTTTCAATAGATATTAATATTGGTAATATTAGTAATTAATTATCAGTACTAATAATTCGTGATGAGAATATCAAATTTTATGATATGCTTGGAGTTTATTTCTAATATCACCAAAATGGCGCTATTGCCTCACGTGTATATTTTGTAAGATATCCTGGCAGGAGATATTGTGGCAAAGAAGTAGATATTTCGGACTACTTATATGTGGATTCTGTTGAATTAAAGCAAGAACATTGATTGAATTTTATTATCTTCGGTCATAACTCTACTACGTCGTTTAAAACAAGGACGAGAAAAACTACCAGTTTCTCTTAATCTTTTTGCCTTTCTTTCAAATACTTCTTTGCCATAATGTCTCCTGTCACTATATCTTACAAAATATATACGTGAGGTAATAGCGGTATTTTGGTGACATTCGAAATAAACTCCAATCATATCATACAATTTGATATACTCATCACAAATTATTTGTACTGATAATTAATTACTAATATTACCAATATTAATATCTATTGAAAAAAGTGCAATTTTTAATTCGAATTATAATATAGCACTTCTTAACAATGTTTTGACTGCTGTCAATAAATAAACAATATGAACTCCCCGTCAAATTCATTGTCGTAGCCTACTTAGTTTCGAAAAAACTATTTTTTACAAAATAGGTATCAACATTAAGATTCTTCTGCTATAAAAAAATTTGAAAATACCTACTGACTTATTTTTTTTTTGTAATTTATAATACAGGGTGTGTCAATACTATACTTACTTATGTTTATGAGTTTTTATTCATATCTTGAGTTCAACAAAAGCTATTAACATACGGTTTGCTCCATTTTGTTACGAATTTATTCCAGTTCCATTATGGTTTACAATAAATAGGTGTTTCCATTAAAAATTTTGAAGAAAAACAAATTTTAATTTTTTTTATTTGAAAGTCCCCTCTACCTACGACTATGAAAACTAAATGCAAGTATTTTATAGTAGATGTAAATTAATTCATCCACACTCTTTCTAATGACACTAATTCCATTAAAATCGGTTGGACCAAACCAAAGTTATAGGTATTTATCCACAAATACTTTCCCACTCTCCCCCACCCTTTATTTGAAAAAATAAAAAAAAGTACTTGAACAACTTTGTGCAGAATTTATGCCCCTTTCTAGTTTACTTATTTAACACTTGGTATAATTGGACATATTTCCCAAAAAACTGGTTTTCAAAATTTTCTTCGCAGGTTACGACCCCTAGCGGTTAATCCAGAAACTTGAAAGTTATTTCCAGCGATTTCTCTTGGCCACTTTTATTAATGAATTTTTTCTCCTAAAGTTATAACATGAATAGTTTCTGATATATAGCCGAGAGATCGGCTTATTGGACCACCCGGTACATATTTAAGGTCAATTATCACTGTATTGTCGCCAGTTCGTACATAAAGTTTTAGTATCTTCCTTTTTTATGACATTTTTGCACAAAATGGCACAATTAAGTGGCTATCATCTGTTTTTTTTCTCGTTTTCTGTTGAGTCATTCTATAACTGTTCATATTTATACTATTATGGTGTTAATTTTTTGGTTCTATGTTTCGTATGGATTGGAGCATTGAAGACAGGTAGCATACCTGATGTAGTCCTTTTATTATAGTATATCCAGGTGAAAAGGTGTTTACTGCAAATAAATAAGTTTTTCCTAAAATTTCTGATTTTATTCAAGGCAAGTCTAACTGTAATTAGACAATATTTTTCTTTACGTTGACATTTTTACTCAGTGAACTGAATTTCTAAATTCTATGAGAGTTTTTTACAAATGATCAACTACCTAGGCCATTTTTTTTGTTTTAATTGGATTAATTTAACCCATTTTTTGTCTTCACTTTATTTATAATCGGTTCTTAGCATACAAAAAATAAAAAATAAAATTTTTTTGACGAATATTGTTTAGGACATGTAGGAATTTTCTCCAGCAAGAAAATACCTTTAATATTAGTTTACAATACTATTGTTGAACCTATTATTATTATCTACCTAAAATCAGTCTTCAAGTCCGTTGGATTAAATCGTTTTAAGCGACACAATTCACCTATGGTTTCTTGTAGCTGACGCACTAGCACGTTACCATGATCACTTTGTGTTGTATCACTATAATGTGTTATTTCTGTTTTTACGGATAATATTTTCAAGTCTTTCTTGATTAGGGGATTGCCAAGTAGGTACTGCAGGGCATCTCTTATTATGCGCAGGATCTTATTGGCATGTCTTCTTCTTGCTGTACCGTCTCCTATCGGAGGTTGGCTACCATCACAGCAATCTTTACTTTGTTGGCTGCAGCTCTGAACAACTGTATTGAACTGCACCCATACCACTCCCTTAAATTTCGCAACCAGGAAATCCTCCTACGTCTCACATTTCTCTTTCCCGAGATTTTTTCTTGGATTATGAGTCTAAGCAGAGAGTACATTTCTCCTCTCATTATGTGGCCCAGATATTTCAGTTTTTTCGTTTGTATGGTTTTATGACTTCGTATTCCTTCCCCATCTTCAGCAGAACATCTTGATTTGTTACTCTTTCTGTCCATGGTATTTTCCACATTCTCCTGTAACACCACATCTCGAATGCCTCAATGTTTTTGATGTTTATCTTTTTCAGTGTCCAGGCTTTCATGCCGTACAGCAGAACGGAGAAAACATAGCACCTTAACATTCTCGTTCTTAAGTTTATATTTATGTCCCGGCTGTATAGGAACTTTTTCATTTTGACAAACGATTGTCTCGCTATCTCTATTCCCCTCCTGATTTCTCTTGTCTGGTCATTAGTATCAGTGAAGCAAACCCCTAAATATTTGTAGGACGTAACTCTTTCAACTGGCTGATTATTTATGGTTAAATTCACATTGGTGTATAGCTTCTTTGTTACAATCATGAATTTAGTCTTTTTGATGTTCAGTTTTAGACCATACTTATTGGTATGAGTGTTTATGTTTTCCATCAAAAACTGTAAATTTGCTAGGTTATCTGTTACTATTAGCATGTCATCAGCTTATCGTATATTGTTAATTAACTCTCCGTTAATGTACGTACCAATGTTTTGCTCTAGGAGCGCTTCCTGACATATTGTTTCACTATATATATTGAATAATAGTGGAGAAAGCACACAACCCTGACGCACTCCTCGACGAATCTCAATTTCTTCGGTTAACTCATTCGGTTATTGGCATGTACACACTGGCTTTAAGCATGATATTTACATTAGGAGTTTTTTTTTTTTATTTTTAATCGGGATTTTCCGCCAATCAGTCAGTAGTACATTTAATGTAGTTTTAATAACAATTGTTTACATTTTCTAAGGATATGTGTTTTCCACGTCAGACGGTAATATATATGCATACCAAGGTCATTTACGTCACTGGTTTGTTGAAGCTGTATACCATTTTCCTTTTCTAGGGTAAGTTGAAGTCTTTTTAACAACAATTTCTCAAATATTTTGGATAAAATTGGCAATTGACTGATTGACCTATATGGCATAATTTTTTCATGTTTATTCACTTGCTTCGCCACCATCATCACTTACACTACTTTCCATTGTTACGGAAAATAAGCAAGTTTGAAAATTGCATTGAATATCTGCAGAATACTGTTCAAACCTTACTGGATAGCTATGTTAAGACTCCCCTGTTATATAATCGTAGCCATTCTCTGTGTTTAAATTTCTATATTGCCGACTCCATTTTAATCGGCTCGTCTCTTATATCTTGAGTTTTTATAAGGATTGATACAAAGTTACTGGATTACAAAATTCCGGTCAAAACACTTTTACTAAATGTTCACCGAAGGCTTTGGCTCTTTCTTTGGCATTATTTTTTGCCCATTTTCCTACGACATTTCTGATTGGTGGTATTGACTTTAGGTATTTTTAGGTATGTTTTGGCTTTCTAGGGTAAGTATTCATTGTTAATTAATTTGCTAATTGATTTGATGTGAATTTGAATTTATATATTTTGATTTAGCATTTATGTATATATTTTGCAGTTTTATTGAGTTTATTCTTACTGCTGTCGGTTCTGTTTTGTTGCTCTATTTTATCTCCCTTTTCCGCGATTTTTTTTTACTTTTACCGGGTAACGTTCTTTGTGAGTTTATGAACTACTTTGAACTACTCAGATTTTTGTACATTCTTTGTAAATTCACTTAGAGCATTCTCTACATCATTCACCCAATTTAACACATAACAATCTGTTGTTATATTTATTTTTTCGTAAAATCTTGGTAAAATATAAGAATTTAACTATTTATTTAAGTTTAATTTTACAATGAAAGTTTACATTTGATTTATTTTTTTATAGTAGTTTATAAATCATAGACAGCTACTAAAATATCGTCGGCTTACAAGCGAAACACACTAAGTCAATTTTTTTTCACTTTTGAGTTATTTGCAGCATTTTATTGTATTTTTTTTACTCTTTAGACTAGTTAAACTCACTAAGTCATCCAATAACAAAAACGGTTATTTTTATAATTATCATGTTTCTCACTAAGTCTCAAAAACTATATATGATTCAGGCAAAACACACTAAGTGACTTAATGTATTTCAGTTGACTACGAATGAACCTACCAACTGACTTATGCAGAGCAAATTGTCCAATCTTGTAAAAAATTAATTATTTGTTTGGGTATATTACATAGGTTTTGTCAGTTTTATTTCAGTATTTTGCGTGATTAGGTCGTTAATAGTTTTGAATTTTGTGTGTATTTATTAATAAATTTTTGTAAGAAAAATAAAATTTTCTGTCGAACTACCTAAAGCGATAAATAAAGACGTGAGCCTAAATTCTGATAATTTTTGTTAAGATATTCAGTCAGGTCCTCCTCAAATAAATGACCAGGATCTGATGAATGTATGGAGAATAGCGACTATATTTCTTCAGGTAATGATAGTGATAATTTAGATACCAGCGAAGGAAACTCTACAGCAGACGAGGAAAAAACAAATTTAAATGAAAATAGTCAAGTAGGACCTAAAAGAAGCCGATGGAACACCCCAAGACCATCTGTGTGGTCAACATCCCAAGACCATCAACTTTTCTGAAGAGAACCGGAAGTTGCTATGTCAAACTTATGCGATGTTGTCATTTCAAAGACAGAAAGATTTTATATTATTGAATGTGCTTTCTAATAAGGTAAAGAGTCGCAGGCCTAGAAAAGGAGAAAATAACAAAATGCGATCCAACGCAAAATCCTATTTTTTCACAAATATGGGAAAGAAAAAAGTCAAGTGTGTCAGAAACTTTTTTGTAAAACCTAATAGGCCTATAACTAATGCCTTTAAAGAGCAAAATGTAAGCGGCGAATACAGTGGAATAGACAGAAGGGGCCGTAGGATTCCTGGCAATAAAACTTTAGTGGAAGCAAGAATAAGAGCAAAAAAACACATTGAAAGCTTTCCTGATGTAGAAAGTCACTACACTAGAAAGTCTTCGAAAAGACTTTATTTAGATAGCAATCTTAATATTAAAAAAATGCACGACCTGTTCGTTAAAAAGTGTAAAGAGGACAATTTGCCAAGCTTAAGTTAGATAACCTACAGGCGAATCTTTTGCAAGAAATTTAATATATCATTTTTCAAACCTAAGAAAGACCAATGTTTGACCTGTAAGGAATACACAAAAGCATCGCAATAAGAAAAAGAAGCGATGGAGCTTAATTATAGGAGTCATTTAGACAGAAAAGAGGCTGCAATGAAAGAAAAAAATTCAGACAAAGCAGTATCGAAAAAGAATAAAAAATTTAAATCAATTACATGTGATATACAAAGCGTTTTACAAATTCCATAATCGCAAGTAAGTCTCTTGTATTATCTTAGAAAGCTGAACCTCTATAATTTTACAATTTAGGAATCTGCTCCACCAAATGAGACATTCTGTTATTTTTGGACCGAAGCCAATGGTAAGCGTGGAAGATGTGAAATTGGTACTTGCCTAGGAATGTACATTAATTCATTATCTGATATAGAACATCTAACGGTTTTTTCAGATACGTGCACAATATGCTATTGTTAATAAGAAAGACGATCAAAAAGGGCAAACGGTCAACTCGTTAAAGGTAAAGTGTTTTAAGTATGAGAAACAGTTTCCTAACATTCTACAGTACAAGTATAATTTTCACGACGAATATGAAAATATTAACGTTAGTTTTGTACGTTGTGCTTCTAACAGAACAGTCAAAGAGGATAATAACAATGAAAATTTGGTTATTCCTCAATAATATTCTAAATAGCTTCCAATTTCGGATGTAAAGAAAAAATATTTGATAAAGCTCTGTGAAAAAAATATAGTTCTGCAAGCGCTCCATATCTGATTCAAAAATCTACCAAGTTCCTCTTCTGTTCGAGACCAAACAGCGTAGTCAGCTAAAAAGGACTCTGACGAAGAAGACTTTGAAAATTAGGAGCATTTTTTTTGTTATACACGTTTTGTTTTGTTATACCTGTTTTCTTAATAATGTTCTTGTTTTGTGAAAATATACATGAAAAAAGTAAAAACTTATATAAGCAAAAATAATTGTATTATTTACAATGTAAACGAAGCCTGCAATAATCGTATGACAGTAAGTAAATAAAAAAAAATATACGTAAGTCATACTTTCACAGCAAAATTAAACAAGTAAAACACACTAATTTAAATGCTACAGGTAAAAAACATTAAGTCAACGTATTCAAATCGAAAATTAAACAAAAATTAATAATTTGGTAATATATAATTTACTTCTCCCCGTCAGTAATCATTATTAATACTTTATGAAAACTTTTGTATAATTACAAAACAAAAAATAAAAGTTTTAAATGTGAAAATTGATCAAACTGTTTTTAAAAAAATTTAAAACACGATTATCTCAAAACTATATTTTTTGACTTAGTGTGTTTCGCTTGTAAGCCGACGATATCTGGTTTTTAATATTTATTTTTAAAACTGGAAAAACAACAATGCTACCAATAATTATAACTTTACTTATACGTGATCCTAATTTTAGGTGAACCAAATGGGACAGCAAATTACAGCGAAAATTGATGGAAATTAAAATGTGCATAACATCTTTGAGACGAAAATGAACAATACTCTAAATTGAGAATAACTAGCGAATTTAAATATACATGTTTTTATATGTTTTATTTATGTTTGTGTATATATTACATGTTATTGTAAGTTTGACGGTAAAATATACTTTTGTATATTGTGTTAAAAATATTGAACTTTATCTCCTAAGTCGTTACCTAATTACTAGTATTACATATCGAATCGCCTCGATGTCTTAGCAGGCTAGCACAATGACTTCTATGTAAGTAATTTAACCATGAACCCTTGGTTCACGCCTTGGTTGAAAATATTATAGTCATGAATCTGCTGCTTTTAGTTTAAATTTGAGAGTAGATCTGTTGATTATTTCCTACCACAAGACGTTAAGAAGCATTATACTGAAAATCCGGAATATACAATTATCATTTTTTATCCCTATGTAAGATCGGCTCTTCTTATTACATTTCTTCATAAGCGTCTTCCCAGCTCTTATTGGATCTTCGTCTCATATTCCTCCCAGAACCGTCTAACTCAGCCAATCTTCATATTCGTTAAAATGCTCTCACATTTTGACAATAACTGGTGCCACCCCCAGACTTTTCTTACTATACCCATTCCTAATTGTGTTCTTATTTTGTCACCTCACTCATCCATCTATGCATTCTTATTTCTGCCACATGGCCCATTTTCATTCGGGATTCCTCTTTTTTTTAAGAGCTTAATAATAATTTTCGTTTATCATAGTTGGTCTTACAGCAGTTTTATAGAATTTTGCTTTAAGCTTCATTGGAATCTTTATTCATTTCAACCTAATTCTACTACATGCATTTTTATCTATTTCCCGATTATTCTGTAATACCAATTATAGATTCTTAAAATCTATTTCTTTTTACACTCAACAGACTAAGACAAACAAGAAACTGTATAAGACAACTAAATTCAGTGCTGTGGGATAAGAACATTACGATAAAGACAAAAACGAGAATATATAATACCCTGACAAGAAGTATCCTGACATATGGGTCCGAAAACTGGATAATAAACAAGATAAATAGAGGTAGAATAAGAGCAGTAGAAATGGAGTTCCTTAGGAGAAGCTGTAGACTTACAAACAGAGACAGAATTGAAAACGCAGAGATTAAGCGGAGAATGGGAGTGAAATCAGACATAATCGACTATATAGAGGAGAAGAGACTATCCTGGTACGGCCACGTCAGAAGAGCGGACAGAGGACGCTGGATAAACAAAATTACAGAATGCAGCCCGATCGGAAGAAGAAAGAGAGGAAGACCCCGAAGGTCATTTAGAGAAGAAATCGACGAGGATGGAGAAAAGAACCCTGCGAGATGGAGACTGGAATGACAGGGAAAATTGGAGAAAATCTGGATTTGTAAAGTCAGAATGATAATGATGATGTATGATTCTAGTCATGTACTTGGATAGAATTTTTTAACTACAAAAAAGAATAGTGAGGATACTTGCAAGAGCAAGTATTGTAAACTTTTATATCTGGATTTAGGTAATATGCTACTACCTTCTCTCTATATGTATGAGACGCTGATTAAAATTTATTCCAACAAAGGTAGGACTCGCATAAACTCCCACTTCCATGATCACTATCCACTATTTTAAGTGGATATTTTAAGGAATGTTAACTAAATAATAAGTTATATGAATAAACAAACATATAATAAAAAACTAAGCCCAATGGTTCGTTCTATCGTATTCTTATGAATATTCAAGAACCCGGTCAACTTTGAAGTGCTGTAAAACCCAGAGAAATTAATGAAAGTTTACACATTTGTAGTGAAAATTATTCACTGAAAACCCTCTATAGTATTGTTTTAATGCCTTTTTATTGTAAAATATTCGGAAAAAATTTTAAGACTTAAAAGAAAATTTGTGTTTAAAAATTTTTAGTTATTTTTGTTTTGTTTTTTAATTTGCTAGCAATAATCTTTGATAAAATTTTCTGAAGGGTTGCTGGGTTGCGGGAATGTTTACGAGATGCAGCGCAAAAACTCTGACCGCTTTTTTTAAGGTTGTGGCCGTAAGACAAGGGTGAAGATCACACAAATTTGAATTTAAAGTTATCCTAACCACCTCACACATAAAAACAATAAAATTTGTTCTTTCAAAAATGTAATCCCAAGTTAGTTTTTAATAGACTATATTTCCTTCTACACCTGATGTTATTGAACACAACACAAAGACAAAAGGTATTTCTGAACTCAAACAAGAACCGTGAGATTTAATTTAATTTTTAAGAATTTAATTGTAATTTGGGTCTATAATTAAAATTATGCAGATATCTTAATTGCCAAATTCAATATGTTTGTAGTTGTTTAAATTTTTAAAATTCATTAAAGTAGGAATTTCATTTAATTCTCAAATATTCGTTTTATATATTCACTGGATAGATGAAGCCAAACCGCCAAGAAGACGAGCTTCTTTATTATTTTAATTTTGTCACAGTTTTCTAATTTTATTTGCATTATTAGATTAAAGAAAACTGTTTTTCTCGAATGAAAATAAACTACAGTTCAAATACCTCATTAAAACGTTACTTCACATCATAGGATTCCTTTAAGACTACTACGACCGCCCTCTATTAAGAGCCTCATTAAGTAGATGTTTCTGGACTACTACAGTAGATGTCTCCATGAGCTGAAATTTGTAGGGATCCAAAAATTTTCATATAAAAACAATTTGGGGTCATTTATGATGATAAATATTACTATATTTTGGTATTCAACAATTAAATTAATTATAAAATTAAAGTATTTAATAAAATAAAATTTATAAACATATTCGATGTATTTCCTTGTTAATACTATACCTATATTTTAATGGTAAATTTTTATTTTATTTATTCTCTATTTGTTTATTGGACATGTCGTCTTTTTCTCCATTTTTGTTATCTTTAATTCATCATAACAATCTTCTTAACGTCAACTAAGTTATTCTTAGATTTTCTATGATATTATTCGGTAATAATTTCACTGTAAGAAATTAGGTTTTTTTTGTAATGTTACTGATGTTGGTTTTAACCAGTCTCATGGTATTTTACCTGTGCCGTATAACATAATGAATAGTGTTGTCGTCAGGATCTTATTTTCGTTGTCTGCTTCTTCTTCTCTTCTTTCAGTGGTCTCTTGATACCATTCTCGGAGATTTGGGAGCTAGGATGTTCTTCGTCGGTCTAGGCCTCTCCTTCCGGCAATATTACCCTATATTATGAGGTGGAGAAGGTTATACCTCTCTGGATATTTCATTACATATGACCGAAATATTGTAACGTATTTTTATCGTTTTTGTTATTATTGTGCTCTTTTTCATTCGATGTAAAACCATTTCATTTCTTATTCGATAAACCCAACTTATCCGCAATATTCGTCGATAAATCCACATCTCAAAGGCCTCTAATTTTTTCATTAATGTTAATAGTGAAATATATAACATAATATAATAAGTTATTATTTTATATTACCTTCCCCTTACTATATGTCCCAGATAAGAAATTTTTCGATGTTTAACAGTCTTTAGCAGTTCTATATCTTTCTTGACGCTCCTTAGTACTTCTTCGTTAGTTTTCCTTGCTGTCCAAGGTATCTTCAGCATTCTTCTATGAACCCACATTCCCAGTGCTTCAATTTTGTTCATGATCGATACTTTTAGCGTCCACACTTCTGCACTATACAAAAGTACGGACCAAATATAGCACTTAACTTGCCTTAGTTCTAAACTGGGATGGTTACTGCAAAGAAATGACTTCATTTTCATAAAAGTAGTTTTAGTCATTGATGTTCTACGTTTTATTTTTATGTCTGGATCTAGTTGGTCCGTTATGACAGTTCCCAAATATATCATTTTGTGAACTTTCTCAACTTGGACTCCGTTTAATTGAAGCTTTGCATCGGGACCTGGGTCACGACTAAACACTTAAAATTTGGATTTGTTTGAGTTTATTTTAATGCCCATTTCCTCTCCTACCTCGTGAATATGATAAAACAGAATTTGAAGACCTTCAAAATTGTCTGATAGAATTACTGTATCGTCTGCATATCTAATCACATTAAGTAGTTCCCCGTTGATTTTTATTCCATATGGTTGTCTCTCAAGTGCCTTTTTAAATAACTGGTCCGAGTAAACATTGAACAAAATGCAACCTTGTCAACCTCGTTTTATACCAATGCAACCTCGTTGTATAGAGATTTCATCGGTGTAGTTATCTCCAATTTTTACGATAGCAATTTGATTCTATTACAAATTTTTAATGACACGAATATCCTTGTCATCTATTCCGATATTTTCTAGTATTTGCATTAATTTTACATGCTGTACTTTAACGAATGCCTTTTCGAAGTACACGAAACATGCAAGTACATCTTTTCTTTGGTCACGGCATTTTTGTAATAGGATGTTAAGCGCAAAAAATGCCTCCCTGGTTCCCATAGCATTTTTAAAACCAAATTGGGTATCTTTAAGATCTTCTTCGCATTTGCGTCTAATTCTGCTGTGAAGTATTCTGTGGAAAATTTTAGGAGTGTAGCTCATTAGGCAAATTAATCGATATTCTGAGCATTTTCTGGCATTGTATTTTTTAGGTATTGCGACAAATATGGATTTGAGCCAATCTGCGGGAATCACTACAGTTTTATATATTGAATTAAAAAGTCTTACTATTACTTTTATGTTATCATTCTCTATTAGTTTCAGCAACTGAGTTGGTGTATCATCTGGACCACAAGCTTTCCTAATTTTAGCATTATTTATAGCGTGTTCTACCTCGTATTTCATAATTTCTGGGCCGTCAGTACAGTTTTGGTAGAATTCGGCAATATTATTCCTGTCATCTTCAAACAACTCTGATACATACAGCTGCCATTTTATTCTTATTTTGTGCTCAAAGGGAAGTACAGAGGGAACTCGTTTTTTAAATATGTCTATTTCCTTTAGTTTTTTTGTGCACATTAAATAAGTCGTGTTTAGATTTTACATCCTCCATTTCGTCGCACCTTTCCCTCATCCATTTTTCTTTGGCTAATTTGATCTCCTTTTTT